GAGTTTATATAAAAATAACCAACCACCTATTTTTAAAAACCTTATTCCAAATAAAAAAAAATTTCTCAAAATTCAATAAAAAATAGAGCATATATTCTATTCACACTACTGAGAATTCTTAGAATTCTCCGTATTTAAAAATATGACAAATTGCAATAATTATTTTTTTAGAGCGAAGAATTTACATTTTTCAAATAAGGTTGAAGAAACCTTGCGCGATATATGTTAATTCTGTTTTTTTCTCTCAATTTAAAAAAAAAAAAATTCCTAAAGTGCTAGTATTAATTATACCAACTTATAGTCAACTAATAAAAATCTTGGTCACGTAATGATGATTCTATTTTAATTATACATAATTACAAATGTGTGTCTCGCTATGCAGATAAAATATATAATTCTAAAGTGGATCGATTACCCCTTTTAATGAATAAAAAATTAATCCAGTTAAATTCATCTCCAACTGCAATATAAAACTGTCAATATGATAAAATAATTGTATAGTATATAATGGAAAAAAAATTCTCCAATTGAATATTTATTAACAATTTGAAAAATATTTTAATTTATCAAAAAAAAGAAGACGATATCGTTTTCTTTTTTTTCATATCAAAAAAATGAGAATGTAATAGAAATTCATAGAGTGTTAATTTAAACATTTTTAAACTTGTATGAATTACAAAAAAGTTAACTTATCTGGTCATTGACCTCTTACTTAAGTGTTTTATTCCACTTGAAAATCATAAGGTCAACGTGTCCATCAAACACCACGGAAATAGGATAAAAAGGAGATTCACAGCTTTATAGAATACAACATTATTAAAGAGCTCCTTTTTTTTTATTTTTTAAATAGAGGAAGTCTTAAAAGGATAAAATGTAAATTGATGAAAATCATTAGATCAAAATTGATAAAGGAAGAGTTTATGATATTCGAAGGAATATAAGATTTTTAAATCTTATTCAATGGATCTTGGTCCATTGCATATTTATGGCGAAATTTGTAAATTTAAGGAGCGAGCGAATAAGGATTCTAATGGATTTTTGCCTTTTCAAATATTTTTAATGATCGATCCATCTTTCAACAAGTTTCGCCTTAGAAATGCGGGTTTATTTTCGTACATTTTTATCAGGAGTGCGGATAATTTAATAGGCGGTTGATTTTTAAATTTTGCGAAATATCTTCCATAAGGTTCGATAAAATTTTTCAGAATGTTGTACATTTATAATTTAATAGAAGTATATTCTGTTCCTCAAAATAAACATTTTGAAAAGTATATTGTTAACGGTATTTTAAAAAGAATTTTAAATAGTATTTGAAATAATATTTTTTAAAGAGTATTTTTTATTTTTTTTAAAGCATGGCATACTATGATTCTTTTAAACAAATTAGTTAATTAGGGTGTAACTTTAGTTACTGTTAAGGTCCCCGCTGGAGAATTTTAAAAATAGGTCAAATTTCAAATGTTTCAAAATGTTTGACGAAAAAGGTGCGAGAAAGAAACTAGTTTCACTCTCTACTGACCTGAGTGACAATTTTGACGCTATCACTGGTGGGGACAATAGAAAACACGTGGTTAGCGTCAGTAGTGGGGACAAGTTAGGATAGGCAGACGTTTAATGATCCATGTTTACGCAATCTTTTTTAGGGTTCAATAACCCGGGATGCAAATAATAAATTTTTAATCAACAATATAGGAAATATTGCTAACTAATTATAATTTTATTACCGTTACTTATTATTTTATGACCGTTACCAATTATGGGGGTCCAAAAATCTTGAAAATGGTAACAAAGATTGGAGGGGAGTGTAAAAAGTATGAAAAATTGGTAACATACTTTACGGAGGATCCCCAACAATTCTAAAAAATCAAACTTAAAAACGTTTGGAGGGGAGTCTGAAAAATATGAAAAATTGGTAACATAGTTTATGGAGGACCCCTAACAATTTTAAAAAATCCTAGACGTGCCAAGAGCAAATAAATTCCACTAAATTCCAATAGTGTGAAGAAGAAAAAATTACGGGGGTTAAAATCAGTTGTCGGTTGGTGTTGGTTGTGTGTGACTTTCATTTCGTGCCTGTCGAATAATTAAGAATCATCGCGGTGCAATAAAAAACTATACACTTAACGAGAACCATATAATATAACGAGACATGGCTAGTAGTCTTGGAGTATTGGAAGGGTGACGGGTTGGTCGTATAATAATTAATAACCCCAGACGGTGAGTGGTCCGCGCAAGCTCCGCCCCTCTCCCCCTGATTTATGTACCGCAACGCCCTCCCTGTCATAACTGAAGGTTGTGGAGGTGGTGGTGGAGGAGGCCGTGAAGCGCATAAGTGCGTAGGAGTAAGCGGGGTGGGGATTCCGCGGCGCAGGAGTGGGGGTCGCGACATAGCCCCCGATCGAGCCGGTTCTTTCCCCGTGCGATCAGTCGCTCTTCGTCCTTGCCGGATGACAGGGATACATTGTTTCAATAAAAAAAAAAAAAAAGACTTTGAAAAAATTTTTTTTTCCTAATGTAGTGTAAATCGGGCATTAACCGGATAAATACGGTTTTTTGTTTCGCGAGTGGTTAATTGTGATTAAGTTTTGGAGCGGCTCAGTCCGCTCTCGGTAATCCGAAATTTTCGGAGATAAATCTCGATTGGAATAAAGGAGTAAATTAATCGGATTAATTAAATAAATTAATTCGAGAAAGGAATAGAAGAAAGCAATGCAGTTGATGCGATGGAGTATAACAAGGCGCCTCGACAGTCGAGGAATGAACGGCCGTCGCGACGCCAAGAGCTGTCAAAATGATCCAGCTGGACCCCGCCTGTCTGATTCACGATCTTCCGGTACGATTTCGCATTTTACGAGAGCTCTTTCCGCAAACCGCAATATGTGTTTACGCCTTCTTCACTCCTCCCCTTTCATTCAAAAGCACGTGCCTTACTTGTCAAAAAAACGTCAAATCGAAAAGTTTTACCCAAAGTGGGACAAAGACTTGTCAAAAACACCCTTGATTCTTCCTTTCTAAAGAATTTCTCCTAAAAAAGTTCTCCCTTAACAAAACCGTGAGTACACTTCTCTAAAAGAATTTCGATCCGCTGCTCTTTAACGGTAGTACTTTTAAAAGTAATTAATCACCTTACTTAAGAATATAGTTTTCTTAAAAGTATCGAAATACCAAAGTGGATCATACAACAAAAATTTTGATCAGTTTTCTATTTGATCCAAATTTTTGATAACAAGTCGTTGCAATTTGATACATTCAAGCCCTGCTTTCAAGTTAACAGTGATTCCTAACAATCAACGAGTATACCCCAATCGACATACCGTCTTTTTTAAATAAAAAAATAAGAATGCAATACATGAGAATTAAAGTGTATAATATAATCAAAAGCATCAAGCGAAAAATGTGCAACTATTATAGTTTTTCATTTTAATGAATAAAATTAATTCTTTTTCATTCGACTGTTAAATTTCACATGCGAAAATTATGTAAACACCTGGAAGTTCCATTCATAGTTGCTGTAAAGCGGTATGGAGGTCTTTAATGCATTTTCTACAATTTGTACTGAATGGTATTAAACCGACAATTTCTCGTTTTATACACATATATATATAAGTACGTACTCTTTTCCGTCAATTAAAATCAGAAGGTCATTAAAAAGTTATACGCAAATTGGATTCATGGGCTTTTTTGTGCATAGCAACAATATGAATGTACTTCAGACAGTCTTGCGTGACTATAGTTAATTACAAAAGAGACTTGTGAAAAGTGTATACACATACATAAGTGCGCATTTATCGCTAAAGTAATATAATAACAAGCAAACGGTAACGACTTGAATTATATATTAAAGATAAGGATCAATTTCTACTATATGTCTGATGGTTTTTCTCCTTTAGGATTTTTTCTCCAATCGAAGAAATTTAGAAAATTTAAACGCGTGTGAAAATTTAAAGATTAGATATCAATTATTCATACTTTTTTTAAAGATCAGTTCATCGGGATTTTACTACTGTTGATCATTAAAAAGCAAGAGACAAAGAAATCTAGTTCAATACCGCGGAGTGAATTTGACAAAGTGAATTTTTTAGCGGGTCAAGTACGGAAATCGACCAACTGTCAGGATTATGAAAATTTAAAAAAAATTTCTTCTTCCCTATAAATGAATACTCATGTTGGAATTATTAAAATTTTTTTTCAAACAAAGTCCGATAGTGTTCGATTCTCCATTCAGGAATCCCTTCCCGTCACAGAAAGTGTTTTGCATTTCATAAGGGAATTATAAAGTGAAATTTTTTATCATCGCGTATATCGCTGGATAAACTGTTACAAAAAAAATGTTTCTATATAATACAAGAATTTGACAATACTTTTTTAAAAATATTTAATGTGTTATTAAAAATTAATTTTCATCGTGTGACTTGAAGAATTATAGAATATATTTTTGTTTTCTTTTAATTTATTGGTTTTGAAGATCTTGTTTTTATTTTTATCCCTTTGGAGAAGAAAGACTTAAATTATGCTCATCATTCAAATGATATATGCGAAAAGAATAATATAAAACGATAAATATCTTATGTTCTCAAATATTCCGTGAAGAATCTCTTAAAATAAGTATATAATAATATAAATCATTGAATACTTCAACAAGGAAATCTTATCTTGGGTCCAAACTCCAGGAATACATTTCCATATTATATGCCGATATTAAAAAATTTCATAACGTCAGTGTGTTAGCTGCTCATTAGACGTCTTTATTTTATGAATATCTTTCAGGCACTTAAAAAATACATTCCTAAAATTCTACCATTATCTTGGATGCTAACAAGGTGCATCATCATTAACTAATGAACCCCGAAGACACAGTTTCATCTCCATCGAAGATGATTTGCGTTAAAAACTGATTAACAAAATCAAGTCGGACTTTTGATAAAAATAAAAAATAAAGAATTATTAAAATACACATTTGGACTGTCACTAAAATGTTTTTTGTATTTTTTATGTTTTAGGAGAAGAAAATGACTCAGCTTCGGAAGATGAGGAAAGTGGGGGAGGAGCCATTGGTGAGGAGGCCGTTGATCTTACGGCAACACGTTCCCATCATGGAGATGAGGATGAGAAGGACCCAGAAGAATTACCGGTGGAGGAGGACGAGGATGAAGGTGTTGATGAACAGGAGGAGCAGGACGAGGATGAAGAAGGTTCCCGCAAGCAAATGCGTCACCGTCAGGACGCGGAGAATAATAACAGCTTTGTGGAGGGTGGTCCAGCTGCAGGAATCTTCCCACCAGCCGGAACTAGTCACGTCACCCTTGGAGCCCTTGAAAACACAAAGGTGGCAGTCGCTCAATTCGCAGCAACTACCGCGGCGGGCGGTGCAGACAGTGAGGCAGTTCTCCAAGATTACGCCCTCTTAAAGAACACACTCTACACCCTTCAACACCAGCACGTTTTCCAACTTCAGCTGATCAATCAGTTGACCCAACAGCTATCGGGATCACAAACTGGTGCACAAAATATGGCTGTAGGAGAATCGACCGCCTCTGACAGCAAAGAAGCTTCACCATCTCCAGTTGCGAATCCCAAAACACATTCTGTCCTCACTTCTCCCCCTCCTTCCAGACCGCCCAGTCATCATCAATCATCTCCTTCGCCCCTAACTCCAAATTTACCGCAGGAAAGGCCGGCTCCTGCAAACAGTGCATCACCCGTCGGTGTAACACTTCCTCCGACTACTGCGACCACGCCTACCACAACGTCCAGCATACAAACAATGAGTCATCAAATGCCACCTCTCTGTTCAATTAGTTCATCATTAGCGGCTTCAATCATCACAAACAATGATCCACCGAATCTTCACGAACCAAATACTCTGGAGATGCTTCAGAAGCGTGCACAAGAAGTACTTGATAACGCGAGTCAAGGTCTCTTGGCGAACAATCTTGCGGATGAACTTGCCTTCAGGGGTAGTAAAGGTTCAAGACTGTCTCCCTATGATTCGAAATCCGGTGGCGGTCGGGGTGAACCCTTCTTCAAACATCGATGTCGTTACTGTGGCAAGGTCTTTGGCAGCGACTCCGCCCTCCAGATCCACATACGGTCACACACAGGTGAGCGTCCCTTTAAGTGCAACGTCTGCGGAAGCCGATTCACCACCAAAGGAAACTTGAAGGTCCACTTCCAAAGGCATACGGCCAAGTTTCCACACATTAAAATGAATCCAAATCCCGTTCCCGAACACCTGGATAAGTATCATCCTCCTCTCCTTCAACAGCTCGCAAATTCCGGACAAAGACCATTACCCTCACCACCACCACCTCCCCATCATCCTCCCTACCATCCCGCAGCAGCACACGGTTTTCTTCCACCACAACCTCCCTTACCTCTTAGTCTAACCATGCCCGGTATGTCGCCCATTTATCGACCTCCTCTTGTCAATCACCGAGATGATCAAGACGTCCCCGAGAACCTCAGCAAGCCTGTTACAACGGCACGTGCAATCTCTCCTCACTCACCCGACACTCAGAATTCTCATCCCTTTCTCGATCACCAACTCTCCAAACCACCGTTCGAACAGAGGGAGGAAATAAAGGTAGAGCAACCGTTACTGGAATCATTTCAGCAACAGCCGTCCAGTCAAGAGAGTGGAGAGCAAATAACCCCCAAACGAGAACCCGAAGACACCGACGAGCAACCGGAGGACGAAGGTGAGGAATTTGAGGAATCTAGAAAATTTATGAACTCTTCACCATCTTCAGCAAATCCACCTTCCCACGATTTGGTGAATCCTCATCAATACGAAGACTGCAGTATGGATAGTAAAATTAGCGAGAGGCTGGAAGGCGACGTCGACATGGAAGCCGACGAAGAAATGGAGGAGCAACCCGAGAACCTTTCAGGAAGAGGTCCCGGTCATCTCCTCTCCCAACAACCATTCACATACCCCGGGGCATCACCGGCAAGTAGTAGTGCCAGTAGCGGAAGTCTTCAAACCTCCTTCGCCGGAATAATATTTACTGGACCACCACCACCGCCCCTACCACATCAACATTTACCTCATCATCACGTTTCCACGACTGCAACAACTCCCACAGGCTCCGTCAGTGACATGGTCATTGATCCAGCGCGCGATCCAGCTATCTACTCCAGCCTCCTACCCCGACCTGGAAGTAACGACAACTCCTGGGAAAGTTTAATCGAAATAACCAAATCCTCGGAGACAATGAAACTCCAACAACTTGTCGACAATATCGAGCATAAACTAACCGATCCCAACGAATGCGCCATTTGTCATCGAGTTCTCTCCTGCAAAAGTGCTCTCCAAATGCACTACCGCACACACACCGGAGAACGACCCTTCAAATGCAAAATTTGCGGAAGGGCCTTCACTACAAAGGGCAATCTCAAGACTCACATGGGTGTTCATCGAGCGAAACCACCATTGCGAGTCCTCCACCAGTGTCCCGTTTGTCACAAAAAATTCACCAACGCACTTGTTCTTCAACAACACATACGACTGCACACCGGTGAACCCACGGATCTCACTCCCGAGCAAATACAAGCAGCCGAAGTAAACGAATACCCCGGCTATCCTCACAATCCCCTAGCCTCGTTTCTACCGCAAGGCTTTCCACCCCTCCACCCAGGCGGTCCAGGTTTTCTAGCCTTTCCACCACCCCGACACGCACTAGAAAGGCAATCACAGGAGAGCGATGAGACAAAAGACTTACATCAAAGATTCCCCGACGAGCCCATCGACGACATGGAGGACCCCGAGGAGGAAGACGACGACAGGCGAGACGAGGACGAGAGATGCGTGGATTCCCGAGAGAGGCGATTGGTCGAAGAAGAAGAGGAACCCGAGGACGAACACGACGAACCCGAACAGAAGGAAATACCAATAATCCCCTCCTTCTCGACATCCTTAGCAGCACTCGAAAATCAAGTGAAAACAATCACCACAATGGCTCAGGGACAAATGAATCAAATAAATCAAATTAGATCGCCACCAATACATCGATACAATGGCAGTGAGAAGAGTACAAGTCCACCTGGTATTGGAGCACCACTAGACTTAACACCAAGAGCCTCATCAACCCCGGCGTCTGTAGCTTCAGCATCGACACCACCACCACTACTACTACAACCACCACCACCACCACCATCATCATCACTACAAACCACACCACATCATCCTCATCCATTCGGAATGTTTGCAGGACTCTTGCAAGCTGTATCGTCATCTCCATCAATGAATACCATGGGGACAAGTATAAATAGTATTTCGCCAATGAATGCTGTCAGTCCTGGCAGTGGTGGTGGCGGCGGGCCTTTAGCCTCTCTAACAACATCGGCCGTTTTGGCAGCGACCTCCACTTACAATCCGCTTGGCCTAGCTGTCGGAGGGCCAGCAGGTAGGCGCTGCTAGCACATCGAAGGGCGAGCCGCAGTTCCCGCTACACCTTCCTATTCCAAAAACACTATCATACACTTCTTATCTCAATTCTCTACATCATCTTCCGAGTGATTTCACCCTTTAATATTTATATAATCAACAAATACCTTTCGCAGTCGAAAAATAAATGCCTATCTACTTTCAACTGTTTTTTTACTTTCGAGTTTTATCATATGGGAACAGCAGACGTACCGCAGTTAGGGGACCTTCCGATTTTGGGGTCTCTGGAGCACCAATAGTTCAGAAATGGTAATTCCTTCACTATTGGTGAAGTCTTGGGGTCCAAAGACCCCAAAATCAGAATGTGGGTTGTACCAAGACCAAGAAGCGTTGCACTTTGTCCTGCAAAACATTTCTTAGGAAATTTCTGAGAATTGACTGTTTTCTCGTAAATTTTCGAGAGTATGGTCCAACGTAGAAATTACCAGAATATATAGAAAATTTTTCGGGAGTATTCGATAAAATTCGCTGAAAATTTTTTTCACTTGGGGTCCAAAGCACTTGGTTCTGGCACTTTAATCCATTTTGAACCGAACGATGCTAAAAATAGAAGAATTGATCCAAAATTTACTGAGTTATTAGAAAGTTAGTAAAAAAGTATTTTAAATGTAAATCCTAATCTAAAAGGATAAGTTAAGTTATCCTTAGCTTTTTATAAATTATAACGACTATAACGATCTGATTAGATCAGATTATAAAATGATGAGTCAAACAGTTGGAATGAAATAAGTATTTATTTTTACTGCGCCTCTCAGTAACCATTTATCCAAAAATCCTCATGTGGTGTAGCTGGACCTAGCACTCCCCTGTCTTGTTCTTTAAATGTGTTATTTCCTTGATCTCGTTTAGTTTTGTCTGAATAGATGTATATCTTATACTTTTATTCTCATTCATAGAGAAAGATATATATAAAAAAAAATATTTCCACGACTTCCTTTGCACGTTGACCATACAAAAAATTCAGCTAGTATTATTACAAATCGAGTACAAAACGAATCTTTCTTTACCAATTAAAATTTACGTGTAAATTTGTAAATTTCTATATTGTTTTCTCTTATTTTAGGATTGTTTTTGATAAATTATTGTTGTACAAAAAAAGATTTATAGGTTAGAAGATTAAAAAAAAAGTGTTCGGATATATACTCGACAAAATATTTATACATATATGTTACTTTTAAACTTGTATTGTAATTTAACTGGCTGTATTTTTAAGAATGTTTTTACGCCTTGATTTAAAAAAAAGGTTATTTTAGAATTTTGCTGCAATATAAATATATATATATACGTTCGTCACGTAATAGTTTTAGGCATTTATTGTTGAAAATAAAATGACGACTTTAGGTTATTTTTGTTCGACGAGAAACAATTCAAACATACACATATACATGTACGGTTATAAATAAATTGTTTTATACAACATAACAAGTTGCTTTACATCGATCCATTCCATTCCTTTACTTTTTGATTTAATTTTAAAATACGCGACTTACTTCACATATATATGAATATACACTTGTCAGTCTTTCTTATTAAAAATTTAAAGTTCACTATACGATTATAGTTTTTCTCTTTTTAAGTCAATTTTACTAAATTAAATTCAAAAAATCGATTCTGTTTTTAGACATTCTGTAAAAATGAGTATGAACAACAGGCATAGAAAGCATATCTAAAGTTCATTTTTCTATTCTTCTTCTATACCAAAAAAAAAGAAAATAAATATTCGCGTGAGAATGACTGAAACATTGCACGATTTGTTGCAGTACGTGGCAACACTACGTGTAATATCTGCTACAAGACATTCGCGTGTAACTCTGCATTGGAAATTCATTACCGGAGCCACACGAAGGAACGACCTTTCAAATGCACCATCTGCGATCGAGGATTTTCAACCAAGGTAATTAAAAAAAGGCACTTCTCTTTTTAGACACTTAGTGTCACCCCATCAAACCATAGGATGATGATCTCGAATATGGATTCAGACTTTTTTTTACTTTCACTAACAGGATTTTAATAGGGAACCTTTTGGGATCCAAACTTTTAAAAAAAAGAGAGAAAAAAGCAAATAAAAACCCATATGGAAATAAAGTAACTTTTTAAAAAATTAGAACGGTTCATTTTGTTTGTGAAAATAAAGATACAGGGGCTTTATTCAGAAATACTTTCAGAGTGACGGAACAATGATAGAATCGTGCTCATGCACTGAGCAGGAAAATGGATTATCCACAAGACCTTCAGCAACTTCAGTTAAAACCGAACTTCCATACCAAACGTTATCAGCGCAACCGCCATCGATAGTATCGGCCAAATCACGAGAGAAGCCAAAACGCAGGAGACGGCGGCCCGAGGATCGTAAGAATCGGGGGCGGACTGGGACTGGAGAGGGGCGGGGACTGACGTCTACCTATGCTGCAATCTATGGGGACGTACGCCTGCCCCCACTGATGCCCCCCGCCCTCGGACTTCTAACCTCGGACCCCGTATTCCTGGTAAGAGCCTCCTGAGCAAGTCGATTTTTTGCCCCTAAGGCCTCGCGCGGAAACTATTTCCACATTCCTTTAAAAAAAAGAAACTATAAACGTAAACTAGAAACCCAGGTGGAAAAGTTAATGTTAGCTAACGTTAGACTAATGTTAGACTAATGTTAGACTAACGTTAGGCTAATGTTAAGTTAACGTTAGGCTAATGTTAGGTTAACGTTAGATTAACGTTAACTTTTCCACCTGGAAAAATAATAAAAAGATGATCAAAGTATTAAAAGATAATCAAAATATAAAGATGATAGAAAGATACCTAAAAAATAGAGATTAAGAGCTTTTGAAAAACAAAAAAATGGCTATTTTCCAAAATGAAACTAGTTTTTTGAAAGTTTGTATTAATGTCGACTGTTCTTCTGTTTTTTTGTCCCTTCAGGGCAACATGAAGCAACACATGCTAACTCACAAAATCCGGGACATGCCACCTCATCTCTTTAGTGATTCCAAGCCACCAATTCAACAGCATCAACAACCACTTCAAGAACAAGAAAGCTCTAGAAGTCCAATGTGTACTGACGAGTCTAGTTTGCCTCCACCACCACCACCTCCGCCTCCTCCACCACCAATGCCACCAACAACAGTTGTTGAGTCCATAGTTCCAGTAAAGAGATCTCACACTGAAACTGAACTGTCAGCACCCAAAAGGCCACACAGTAAGTTATTTCTTTTTTTTTGTGATAGAAATCAAAAAAGCCAGGACACTACATTTTCATCGGTTAATCTAAGCTTTTGATATTAAGATCTAATTTGTAATCGTGAAAATCTATTCATTCGCTACTTTTCTTTCCGAGTAATTTTTCCAATGAGAATGTGGTTCATAGCTTCTTTTGCGTATCTCTATGTGTCGATCTATGCGCAATCCCGCTTATGTGCTGACTTATTATCCTTTAACCGCTACGCGGCTAACATCGATATGGTAGACTTACTGATCGCTGGTGGCAGGCTACAATCCTTTTTATGGCTTGTTATCGCGAAGGTAAATCTTCATTATATCTCTTTTTCTTTGGAAAAAAAAGAGAGTTAATAATTTTCCCCTTCTTTTCACATATACCAATAATTTACACTCTATACTTTTTTTATTGGTTTAAAATTTTGATCTGAATACTAACTCTCGGCCTACTATCTGGTAGATATGTTAACTAGAAGAATGGAATAAAATTTAGAGAATTAATCACTTCCTAAACCGGAACAGCAGTTGATCTGTTAAGATTGACATCACGTATAACAATATAACTTTTTAGATTTTTTTCTATTAAAGCAGAATACTCGGGTTGGGTCGGCGGTACAATTGTAGGCAGAGAGTTACGATTCGGAGTGATAAACATACCAACCTCTTTAAATGAGGAATAGGGGTTTAGCTTAGCGAATTGTGTGTGTATTTGCAGGCATGTCCAGCAAGCACTTGTGCCAGGTTTGCAATAAGAATTTCTCCTCATCCTCGGCGCTACAGATTCATATGAGGACGCACACTGGTGACAAACCATTCAGATGCACCGTCTGCCAGAAGGCCTTCACCACCAAGGGCAATCTTAAGGTACACACACCTAAACCACGATATTTATTTTTAAAAAAAATTAATAAATCAATCGCGCTACTCGTTTGCTCCTCTTTGACAAACATCTAATGCTAAAATTCTCACTAATGCTATAAGTAAGCTGCTATCGCTTTCTACTAACGCTAACGCATCTCCTACATATACTATCGCAGATATTATCTGGTGATGAACGTAGTTGATGATGACGACGCAGTTCATTGTAAACATTTACATTTCATTTTGGTGATTAAAAATCCAAGTTCAATTGTTAGTGAAAATGCATTTTCTTTCTGTTTAGGTTCACATGGGTACGCATATGTGGACCAACGGAACCTCCAGACGAGGACGGCGAATGTCACTGGATCTTCCTCCTCTGCCCATCACCCCCAAGGACTCAGAGTTTCTCCAGCGAAGACCGGATCTCTTCTATCCCTACCTACCCACGCCATTCCTTAATGGAGTTCAACAAAAGGTACGAGTACTGCTATTTTAAATAAATTCTAATCTAGATGATAATCTAAATAATCATTATAACAGGCATCACAGATAGATCCCTTTTCCCCTTTTGTTCCCTTTTTTCAATTTTTTCACTTTTTCCCCTTTTTCATCTTTTTCCATTAAATAATAAACATGTTTTTCTTTTTTTTTAAATCTTTTTCAAAATTTAGACTTAATGTTAAATCAGTGCGTTTTATTTTTGATTTGGATTATTAAAAAAAAATCTTTACTCTATTAGATTATTAACACCACAACATAATATAAATGCGTTTCTTATGCTTATGATTCAAATAATATAACGTAAAGAATTTTATAAATTTCAAGGTGGTTCTTTCAATTATAGAATGAACCACCTTAAAAACCTCTAGAAAAATAATTAATTAACAATCAAATAATTAAAATATTATTATTAATATCAATTTTTGAGAATAAAATTGCCAATGAAAATTTATTTCTATAAAAACACATAAAACACAAAATATTCGAATTTTTCTATTTGTGTTTTTTTTATAATTTCTTTCCAAATAACTTAATTCTTCAAGAACTATCATAAAATTATTACTTAGAAATTATTTAATGAATAATTTTACTTAAATATTTCAAAATTAATTGAATTTTAAAAGAGTTGCGAATACAATTTTCATGAAAAGATATATGAACTATAAAAGGTTTTAATTTGACATTTTATAAAATTTCAATTTTGAATGAATTTCATTAGATATTATAAAGAACTTAGATTTTTTAAAAATTTGAAAAATTCAAATTCTTCTGAAACTATAGTAAAATTTTTGATTATATTTAATAAATTATTAAATATGATGGATTTATAGAAGAATTTTACTTAAAAAAAATTGAATCTTGAAAAAATTACAAAAAAATGTAGAAATTCAATTACTTTTTAAAAGTAATAACATTCTTCGCAAAAATTCAATTATGTTCAAAAATTTAAAAAAATTCTTGTCAATAATTCAATTATTTCCTGGGATTCAATTATTTTCATAAATAATAAAACTCATCGCCGAATTTCAATTATTTTTAATACAATTATTTTAATCGAATTCCTTCAAAAATGTAATTATTCTTAAAAATTTTATTAAAACTCGACGAGGGAATACAATTATTTAAAAATTTGTTAAAATAATATTCTTTATGAGAATCCAATTTGAAGAAACATTTAATTATTCAATAAATTTTTATTTTTTGTATTTAAATAATTGAATTTTTCTTAATTTTTATAAAAAATTTTTTTAAAATTAATTCTTATTTCCATAAATTTAATTATTTTCAGGAATTTAAATAAAATTTATTGCAAAATTCAATTATTTGCTAATTTTTATAAATTTCTTCGTATAATAATTCAATTATTTTCATATATAATAGGATTTTTTACAGTTATTCCAATTTTTTTTACAAATAATGAAATTTTTTTTAGGAATTCAATTATTTTCAAAAATTTGCCTCAATTCAATAATGTTCAATATGTACTATTCTAATAAAATTCCATACAAACATTTAATTATTTTCATAAATAATTAAAATTTCCCAGCAATTCAATGATTTACAAATTTTTTACAAACTTCTTCGCAATAATTGAATTATTGTTATGAATAATAATATTTTTTACAAGGATTCAATTATGTTCATAAATAATAAAACTCATCGCAGAATTTCAATTATTTTTAGTGCAATTTTAATCGAATTCCTCGAAAAATGTAATTATTTCTTAAAAATTTTATTAAAATTCATCAATTCAATTATTTAAAAATTTGTTGATAAAATTCTTTATATGAGAATTAAATTTTAAGAATCTTTCAATTATTCAATAAATTATTTTTCTATTTAAATAATTGAATTTTCTGATAAAAATTTATTTAAAATTGAATTTAAGTTAAAATTTTAAATAATAATTGATTAAAGAAAGAATTTTAGGGTAAATTTATAGAAATTATTGAATTTTGAGAAGAGGTTTCAAATTAAAATCGTTTCAAAATTTTTAAATATTCAAAATAATTGATTTATGGAAGAATTTTCGTTAAAAATTGTAGAAAATAATAATTGAATTGAAATGATGAAAAGAATAAATGTTATTTTCTATCAAGGAATTTAAAACTGTAAGAAATTGGAGTAATAATACATTGTTAATATAACTTTAAACATATTTTAATTTTTTGTTTCTGTCCACTTTTTAAGAAAAAAAATTACTCTTTTCATCTTTTTTGAGGATAAAAGGTAGTGTGATGCTTGTATTGTAATCTAAAAAACCTAGATTATAATGATTATTTAGACTTTATAGATTTTATAGATTTTATAGATTATCCAGATTTTGTAGATTAACTAGATTAACCAGATTATCTAGATTATCCAGATTTTCTAAATTTTCTGGATTATCCAGATTTTCTAGATTATCTAGATTTTATAGATTTTCTAGATTATCCAGATTTAATAGATTTTCTAGATTATCCTGATTTTATAGATTTTCTAGATTATCCAGATTTTATAGATTAACTAGATTTTATAAATTATCTAGAACTAGATTGTCAAGATTGTAATCCAGATGATATCATCTGGATTGAATATTATATAATATCAAAAATGTAGATGATGAGCCCTAGATTCAGTCATCTATAGTCTTAGTCTAGACGCATGAAAGTGAATCAAAACATTTTTTGATTACAGCTGAACGAGATTTCGGTGATCCAAGGTAGCAACGGTATGCCAGTTCATCCGGTAAATGCAAGCAAGTACGCGGGAATTTTTGGCTCAGTTTACAGTGGGGGATTCCCTCTGGAAAAACAACCAATGACACCCAGTAATGGTCCATTGGGCGACACAAAATCAGCCCTTGCCTCTGGATCAATGCTATTCCAAACACCATCCCCGGCACATTCCCCAGGAGCGCCATCCTCAAATACAGGAAATCAAAATTCAGCAAGCATACCCCCATGGAGTGGCGAACCTCTACAGCATCACTACGAACGCGATACACCATCAAGAACAGAGAGCAATCCAACACCGCCATCAGCACGTTTACCACCTCCACCTGCACCACGAGGGGAAGGTCTAGCCGCATGAAGATTTTGCATCTCCGTTCCTCGCTACATACCCTCCAAAATCTACTCCCGCTGATCAAATTCTCCAATTACATAAAAAACCTACCCAAACAATTCCTTGTCTATCTCCGTCCTGCTAGTAAAATACACAATCAGTGACGCATTTCATTTCCAAGCATTTCCCCTCCAAAAATTCCCCCTTAAAAATGGAATAACCGAAAAATTGAAACAATGCTGTTTCATTTAGTCTTCCTAACACAGAAAAAAATGGCTACACTCGACATATCCCCGAACGGTTTTGCAGAGCCATCATTGCAGCTGAAGAAGACATCATGTTCCTATTATCACATACTAGTCTTAAAATGTAAAATATGGATCTTTTGACGATCCGCGAAAACTTTCGAAATCTAGAATTATAGTCTTGATGAACTTTGTATCTTGCAAACGATACTATTCGTGCATAAAAAGAAAAAACACAGAAGAATTCAAATCAAATTGATTTTGAATAAAAGATTGTCAATCCGTTCGATACTGGAGGCGCAATTAACACGGCGCCTAGACTGAGCTCTCTCTGTTTAAACTTTTCTAGAGGACAGTAAAGCCACAAGACATGTGGCGCCGTTTTTCTTTTTTTTTTTAAAAAAAAGCCTCCGTATCAGGACCGTCCAAAATCGCGATAGTGATGGTCTACTCGCTTAGTTTCTAGTTATCATGATGTTAAAACACATGATACGTATAAATATAGTGCATATATATATATAATATACATACATGTGCATATGGAAATATATATATAAATAATTGTATACAGAATGACCATGATGATAATTTCTTTTGAAGAATGTATAATTTTCCCCTTCAGAGAAAAAGGAAATTTTGAAAACTCCTGGTGATTCTGTAGTACCGTATGACTTGTATACACAGTTTCGGAAAAAGAGAAAAGAGAATGAATGTGGTGAATGAATGAGACGATACGCGAGAGAGAAAGAGAATATTATTTCGAATATAGAAATTTACGAATGTAAGTAGACGCGGGCCCGGCAGCGCCCCTCGCTGTGATATGAGAGGAGCAGCCTGCAATCACTAAACCAATGTACTTATTTCCTGTATCATAGTATTATATATATTATTATATTATTATATATTATATTAATAAATTAATTATTGTATTATTATCGTGCGTGCAGTAACGCCACATTTTCGTACACGCATCAATGTAAGTGTACCTGCAAACCCAACTTGATTGGAAGTAGAGTTTTTTTTATAATTTGGAAAAACGAACGCTATCTCATCTCGAAATTTAAATAAGTGGAAATTTTCTATTTTTTTATATTGGAATTCACTTTTACTTCTCTGTAAGTAAAAATTTTCTCTTAGGGGCTCTACATCTTAGGGTTTTGTGGCTTTAGTAACTGAAACCATAGCAACGGTTGCTAAGGTAACCATAACCATAGCAAAGGTTGCTATAGTGACCAGAACCATAGCAACGGTTGCTAAGGTAACTAAAACTATGGCAACGGTTTCTATGGTAACCAGAACCATTAAAATAGTTACTAACTAAAACTATAGTAACGATTGCTTTGGTAACCATAAAAGTCATTTTCCCTATCGTTTGTTATATGAAAATAACTTTTACAGTTTCCAGAGTTTGAACATCCTTTTAAAATTCACGATTCGATTATTATGTACAACAAAGTTCAATATAAAAATTTAGTTTATTTTTTTAACTTCTTCAAAATAGTGGAAATTTTCTCTTATGTAAATTTTATTATACGTAAATTGCATGAGAGAAAAAATCCATTTATGAATCCATAAATTGAATTTTTTTTCTCTTATGTAATTGCGGATGTAATTTGATAAATTTAATATATTCAATAAATTATGTAAATAATTACATAATTTGAATAAATTTGCAAAAAAAAAAACAGAATGAGACAAATTTTTAGTTTGAATATATACACCTAGAAGTGAATTCTGTAATTTCGTTTCTCCTTTGACGTGTTCATTTTCACTTTTACTTTCATTTTTGAAAGATCCTTTTTTCCATTTGGAGAGACTTTTATTTTCTCATTCATTTTTATTTTCTCTTTAAAAGATTTTTATTTTTAGTTTTACTTTGAAAATGATCAATTTTGATTGCAACTTTCATTTTCACTTTCACTTTGAAAGATTTCCATTTTTACTTTCTATCAACGTGAATATGAAAATGAAAGAGAAAATAAATATGAAAATTAAATGAAAGTGAAAAAATGATAATGGAAGTGAAAATAAAAAAAAATGAAAGTGTAAATGTAAGAGAAAATGAATATGAAAATGAAATTAAAGTGAAAACGGAAAAAATAAAAGAGAAAATGAATATGAAAATGAAATGAAAGTAAAAAAGATAAAAAATAATTTAAGTGAAAATGTAAGAAAAAGTGAAAATGAAATGAAAGTGAAAAGATGAAAAATAATGAAAGTAAAAATGAAAGAAAAAGTGAAAATGAAATGAAAGTGAAAAATGATAATGAAAGTGAAAATTTAAAAAAAATGAAACCGAATATGAAAATGAAAGAGAAAATGAATATGAAAATGAAATGAAAGTGAAAAAATAAAAATGGAAGTGAAAATAAGGAAAAATGAAAAAGAAAATAAAAGGGTTGAAAATAAAAAGTGAAAATAAAAATCTGTCAAAGAGGAAGAAATGAGAGTGAAAATAGAAATAAAATTACATAATCGACCCTTTGATGGCGAGTATTTCTCATAATTTACAATTTTTACAATTTACAACATCGTTATAAATTAATATCCATTATTGCTCTTAAAATCTCTAAATCTGAATAATTAAAAAGTCTTTCTCTTCACTTTGTTAACTTAAAATTATCAAATTACAACAAATTCGTATAAAAAATAGGGAAAAAAATCAAATTTTTTTTATTTCATCAACTTTAGTATTAATTTAGTACTTTCAAGAAAGCAGTGTTTTTTTTTTAAAGTGCAAATACACTTTCAATGAATTTTCACTTACAGCTTTTTTTGTAATCAATTTGGAAATTTGAGACTTTTTACTTTTTCTACCTGAAATTTTTTTGAAATATACGAAGCAACTAAGTGAATACTTTCAATAAGTGAATATGCACTTGAATCAAATGAGTTCTTACTTTCAATAAGTGAAATCAGTTTTAAGTGAATATGCACTTGAAATAAGTGGTATTCACTTTCAATAAGTGAAATGAATTTTGTCAATAAGTGAATATGCACTTGAAACAAGTGAAATGGATTTTCAATAAGTGAATATGCACTTAAAACAAGTGATTTTTACTTTCAATTAGATAAATAAATTGTAAGTGAATATGCACTTGAAACAAGTGGTATTTACTTTCAATAAGTGAAATGAATTTTAATTAAGTGAATATGAACTTTAAATAAAATAATATTCGCTTGAAACAAGTGCTATTAACTTTCAATACTCTTTAAACATGAATAAGTGAAAAGTCTTCCAAAAAAAAATTAAGTGCATAAACACTTAGAATAAGTGAAAATTCACTTAATTTAAGTGTATATAGGCAAATTTTTTTTACGTGCGTAAGACTTTTGAAGCATAAATAAGTAGTAAGTGAATATGCACTTATTCAAATTTAAAGAGTGTCCTCTCGTTTAAATGAGGATGTGCATTTACGAATAAGTGAATATTCACTTATTTAAAGTGACTATTTGCTTATTTAAAGTGCATATTTACTATTTTAAAGTGAATATTCGCTTATTTAAAGTGAATATTCAATTATTTAAAGTAAATATTCGCTTATTTAAAGTGAATATTCACTTATTTAAAATGAATATTCAGTTATTTAAAGTTTATATGCTCTTTTTAAAAGTGTATGGTTACTTTTTGATATAAGAGAATGAATTTTCACTTATTCAGCTTAGGAGAGTATAAATATGCAATAAAAAGTGCACTAAAGTGCATTCAAAGTGCATTTAGTTCATTAACACTCTAGAGTGCACACTTTAACGTAAAACTACATAAAATTAATTCATATTCAACTGTATTTAATTTTCCGAAATTTTTTCCATTCTTAAACTCCACTGACAATCAATCTTGGGTATGTTATGTTAATTTAGTTGCGTACGAATGTTGACTCAAGTCTGATGAATTATTTTTTGAGGCTTCCTTATTATAATTTTGCCTGTGCCTAGTATACGAACTTAACCGACCAATGAACCAGTGATTCAGTTTAAGAAATCATAAATAGTGATAAAACTTCGATTTTTTTTTGTCTTTAGAAATTTAAGTAACGAACGTGGGTACTAATTTTTTTTAATCCCACAATTTGTTTTCTTTTTTTTCCTAATTTATATATACCTACTTTTGGTTGCATGTCACCAATGTATATCGTTTATGAATGTGTGGCTAATCTGTTTTGCATTCCCTTTTAAAAAAAAATATATCAAAACTTCTATCGCGAGTGAATAAAAAAATAATGAATTAAAGAGACTGAAAAATAAATCTTTTATCAATATTTCGAAAATAGAAAACAATGATTCCATATTTGTAACTCGCGGTAAGAGAAACTTGCATTTCCTTTGCTTGTATTTCGATTTTTTTTTAAAAAAAGGGGTTTTTTATTTTGTCTGTCACAGAGAATGAGAAAAAAAATACTCAAAGTATTCGATAAAAATAGAAAATGAGGCACGGATACAATTAGTTAGTAAAGGATAATGATAAAAGTGAAATTTAATTAGTCATTATTTATTCAAGTTATTAAAAAAAAAAAAAAGTCAATCGTATTAATTTTTTTCGAGCATTTACGATATTGTATATCATGTGATTTACGCGATACCAAAAAAAAAAGATGATAAAAATTAATGAAATACATGTTCCATTACCGTGGTAGGAATCTTGATTTCAAGTCTAGTTTATAATTTTTTTTTTTATTGTTTGTTAATTTTACTTCAAAATTAGGTTACATGACACTCGCGGTTATGCTCATAAAGTAATCATCCCAGTTTCGGTTTCCTTCTTCAGTGCGCAATGTTTATGTATTCTTCGCTACATGCGAACACTGTTTATAAAAAAAAATGAGAAAAAAAAGTGTAAAAACACTATCCACGTGTGACTGGAAAGCATGCAGTTCGGCTTGCAAGGCGATTTTAGTATTTTTAAAACTTCCTGTGTTAACATTATACGAAATGCAGACAATTTTTTTCTATTTTCATTTTTGACGAAATTAAAAAAAAAAAAAAAAAAAATTTAACCGAGCATTTTAACTCGCCTTTCAAGTTGACTATATTTGAATATGTGCGACACGAAAGCATATCGACATTTTTGTATTTAAAAACAAATCCAAAATATATTTATACGTTGGTAATTGTAATTCCGAGACATAGTTATCAAAGGACATGTAGTTGTAGTAATCACTGTCAATGTACAATATCCATTAATCACATGCAAAAGAACATCAAAAAAATCATTTTTTGAAGTGAATATTTATAATTATAGTCGAGAAAAAAAACTTAGAGAAACTAAAAGAAAAAAAAGATCACTGGGTTATGGTAGAAAATTGTTTTGCAATTTCGAAACCAAAATTCTCATTATTCTTTGTTTATATAATATTGCTTTGATCAAAAAGAAAAAACTACTCTATTTGAAGAAAAAGGACATTCCAACTGTGGACTGAAATCTGCTTTTGATGCCTATTCGATCGCATGAGAAAAAATTTTTTATCCATAAAAAAAAGAAAACGATAGTTTATTTTTTCCACCCGAGTGCAAAATTAACGAAAAATAAAAGAAAAGTTGAACTATCGATTTCAAAAACTCATTGTCGAAGAGGCCTCGGAATGTGCTTAGTCATGATCTCATGAATAAGAAAGTCGAACGTTTCCTCAATAATTCGGCTTGAGGATTAATTTATAACGAATTTATCGAGAACGAGCGAGAGAAAAAGAGAAAAAGAGAGAGAGAAAGATTTACGAAAAAATGTAAACTTTTATGTAAAAGAATGTATCAGCTATCAGTATCTATAAACTTGCAAAAAGAACAAAAAAACGCTCATTTTTAAAGATATATATAAATAAAATATAGAGGTACGAAACAAAAGCGCACATTGTGCGATATTCAGCAAAATCAAAGCTCTAAATTTTCTTATATAAATTAAATAAAAAAACGGAAGAAAATAACACTATACGAAATAATGAATTTTTTTTTATGTAAATGAGAGGAGAAAATTACAGATAGCTATATATGTATACATACATAATAAATATATATATTGTAAATAGAAAAAATATACATATGAAAAAAAACGTGTGCGCGCAACGAGAAAGTCGATGATATGACAGACACATGTCGTATTGGCAAAAGTCGATTGTAAACACGTTCTTGCAAAAAAGTAAACCTTACCAAGATTTACACGATAAGCAAGTAGCATTATTGTAACATTGTACGTACTATGTACACGCAAGATGTGTCCCACAGCCTGATTTAATTAGGTTTTTGGATCTCGCGAGATGGTACGACGCGAAAAAATTAATAAATAAAAACAGAAAAAAAAATAATGAAAAAAAGTCCTGTGAATAAAATATGATTGTGGTCCGCTCGTTGTCCAAAAAAAATGTTGCTTAACGACATTATGTTTCTTGTAAATATTGTATAATCCGTGTATAAATATGACTCTTTATTAGTTATGACGTATCATTGTAGTTAATTACGTTACGAATCATTATACCTATATCACTTCAACAATAAACCATTATTATAACAATGAATTATTTTCGAATTTTTATTATTCTTTATTCCTTGTGATTTTTCTCCCTTTTTTTTTGTTGAAAATAAGAGAATATATTTTAGTTGGTGTTGAAAAGGAAAAGAATGTTGAATTTATAGTTCACTGACGCTACCGCTAGAGTCACTGGCCGACTCTAGCGCTGGCGCTCAAACACTTTCTCGCAAGAGAGAAATTAAAATGTATTTCAGACTTCGCGCTCGACAATTAATTTTAAAAAAGTAGCTTTCAAACTAAAAAAAAGTAGTAAAAAGTAGATAACAAAAAATTAAACTATTGACGACCAAAAAACTCGTTTTAGATAATTTACAAAACTGACAAAAATTCCATTCCATATTTTTTATTTTCCTGACATTTTCCTAATGTTCATCAAAAATATTTACTTCTTTCTTATCCTACTAATAAATTTAATTCCTCCAACAAATTTTATTATTCATTAAAAAATTTAAATATTTATAAAAATAATTTTATTCTTACGAAAAATTTTATTCATGAAAAGATATGAATTCTTACTAAGATTTTTACAAAAAATTTTTTAAATAATTATTGAATTCTGTTTGGAAATTTTACGAAAATAGTAATATTAAAAATCATTGAATTGTGAACAGTTTTTAAAAATAATTAAATTTACAAAGAAATCTATTAAAATTTTTGACAATAATTGAATGTCTGTGTAGCATTTTATTATTTATACAAATAATTGAATTCTTGCCAACGATTTTATTCGAATGTTTTGAAATAATTGCGATTATTACTTTTAAAAATAATTTAATTCTTGTAATGAATAGTGTTTTACTATTTATGAAAATTATTCAATTTTGCAAACAATTTTATTAAAATGCCTCAAAATAATTGAATTTTCGGGAATAATTTTGTTATTTATCGACATATTTAAATTCTTTAGAAGAATTTTATTAAAATCTAAAAGATTAATTAAATTATTTTTAAAAAATATAATTAACATTGTATTCAAAATAATTGATTTCCTTCGAACAATTTTATTAACATAATTGGAAATAATTGAATTCTTATGTGAAAAATTCGAATATTTTTGAAAATAATTGAATTTTGGCTCGGTGAAACTAGCGACCCGCCGGCCGCCAGCCATCAGAAGAATCCATAGGCGACGACACACATAGTAGCGCGGTGGCCCTATACGGTTCAATCAACGCAAAAACAACGTACGCTACCTATCACAGTTTATAGAAAAAATGCAATAGTCACATTTTAAAGAGCAATAATCCCCCTTTAATTTGTGACCAAGAAATAAAAATTTGGTCGAAAATTGATCGAATTTTTGATAGCCAGCGTCCCCAGCGCCCGTATCAGAAAAACGAAAATTGGAAAATAAGTCGAAAAAAAATTCATAACTCGAACAATTTTAAACCAAATGCTTATTTCTTGGTCGGAAATTAAAAAGGGATTAATAGTCCTTAAAATGTAGCCAATAAGAATTTATTTAAAAAATTTTTGATAGTCAGCGTCCCCACCCGCCCGTATCAGAAAAACGAAAATTGGAAAAAAATCGGAAAAAAATTCATAACTCGAATAATTTTTGACCAATTCTTTGTTTCTTGGTCGCAAATTAAAGAGCGATTATTCCTTCTTAAAATGTGAACAATAAGAATTTATTTAAAAAATTTTTGATAGTCAGCGTCCCCACCCGCCCGTATCAGAAAAACGAAAATTGGAAAAAAATCGGAAAAAAATTCATAACTCGAATAATTTTTGACCAATTCTTTGTTTCTTGGTCGCAAATTAAAGAGGGATTAATGGTCCTTAAAATGTAGCCAATAAGAATTTATTTAAAAAATTTTTGATAGTCAGCGTCCCCAACCGCCCGTATCAGAAAAACGAAAATTGGGAAAAAAATTCATAACTGGAACAATTTTAGTCCAAATTTTTATTTCTTGGTCACAAATCAAAGGGGGATTATTGCTCTTTAAAATGTGACTATTGCAATTTTTTTCTATAAACTGTGATAGGTAGCGTACGTTGTTTTTGCGTTGATTGAACCGTATAGGGCCACCGCGCTACTATGTGTGTCGGCGCCTATGGATTCTTCTGATGGCTGGCGGCCGGCGGGTCGCTAGTTTCATCGAACCTGAATTTTTTCAAAGAATTGAAAAAAAAACATTTTTTAAATAATTGATTTTTTCGAGGAATTGAAATTAAATTTTTAAGAATAATTACATTTTTCGAGCAATTCCTGTAACATTGTAATAAAAATATTTGAAATCCTTCTTTTTTTATTGGAATTTTTAAAAAGAATTGAATTTCTGTGAAGAATTTTATTATTTTTGAAAATAATTGAATACTTTATAAGCATTTTATAAACATTGTTGTAAATTAATTAATTTTTTCTAAATATAATAAATAGTATGAATATTTCATTTTAAATATAATTGAATTCTTGGTGAAAAACTTGATTTGTGAAAATAATTGAATTTTTCAAATAATTAATTTAAAATAGTTTAAAAAATAATTGAAATTCTTCGATGAGTTTTATTATTTACGAAAATAAAATAAACATTTTAAAAAAAATTAAATTTCAATGGAAAATTTTGTTATTAGTGAAAGTAATTGAATAATTGTAAGGAAATGTATGAAAATTTCGTTAAATAATTGATTTTTTTAATTTTGTTTTTAAAATGCTATTCTAAATCAATTGAATTTCTATGGAAATTTTATTATTTATGAAAATAATTGAATTTTGCATAAATTTTATTAATTTTTTTTTAAATAATTGAATTTTTTGCGAAATTTTATAAAAATACTTGAAAATAATTGAATTGTTTTAAAGAATTTGATTAAAAATTTGATTTTAAAAGAAAATTAAATTCTTTGGCGCTACCGATAGTCTAAAAACCGCCAGTAGCAAAAGTATTAATTAGTTCACTGACGCCACCGCTGGAGTTGTAAGTGGAAATTTTGTTTAAAAAAATCCGCGAAAGTTCATTAGCAGCGTAAATAATAGGGACACTATGCGAAATGACGCCTAAGTATATGAAAAATTGGGGGTCGCTGATAAAGAAAAGTTATAAAATAAGCTATAAAATAGTGCTACAAAATTCTGTAATATTAAAGAAAGATTTATTTATAAAATTAAAAAACTTACATGAAAATTTCCGTCAAGGCCTCCATCCTAAAATTGCACACAATGTCTTCCAGATTGTAAAAAAGTTGCACAAACACCCGCGATTAGAAAAAAAATCGAACACTCCCGAACACTTTTTAAATAGTTAAATATTGTACCCAAAATTCGTTCACGGTTTAAAAAATAATACAAACACTGCCGAAATAATTTTTATTTAATTTAATTTAATAAAATTAGGGGAATAATAGTCAATAATAAGGTTCCTTCGAAACACGTGCGGCCTTCATAATAAAAATTTCTCAAAGAGAGAATTTAAATGCGCCTTTATAGTGTTAACAGAGCAACTCGCGAATTGAAACTGAATTTAAAATTTATTTTCTATTGTGTGAATTTCAATTTTCACTATAGTTATGATCCGATAATCAAAACAAGTATTTTATTGTTCCCAATCGAAAGTCAATACAGCGTTGTGACCTTCTCCTTTGGGAATAATAGGCACAAGTCCCGGGACCTCCTTTGTTTTCTTTGCTCTTTCTATGAAATGAATAAGACAATTTCAGTCATTTTTGATAATAGAATTGAAATTTAAATTAAATATTTCTTTTTTGGAATAATAATTTTTTGATAAATTATAATATTGTGTTCGTTTTTGGAGATTTTTAGCACCACCCCCCCCCCTCCCCCTCTTTGACTCGGAGAGATTGAAAATCATTCCTATGAAAAAATAATAATTAAATATTTATTTTTTAAATAAAAATATTAATGTTATTGATTAATTTTACAATTAAAAAAATTAGTAAATAAATGTAATAGAACATTTTTTTGATAAATTTGAAAAATATTTTAGAAAAAACTTTAGTGACCTGACATCTATTGGAAGAAACTTAAGGCAACTGGGAAAATTCCCTAGATGTTGACTTTCACTCAGTCGGTATTTGAAGTTCTAGTGCTTCTACGAGGGAGAAAACTGAATTTTTTAACCTTCAGATGGTAACCTGCGTTCATGTACCGACAGTGAAAGTTCTTTTGCTGGATAGTTCCTCCTTTTGGCGCAGTAGCGTTAGTATCGAGGCGCGAAGGAGTTTAATTTAAAATTCTTTCTATTACTTAGATTTTTTCAATTCAAACCGAAAATTACGAATGTACATTAAAAAATACGAATAAATAAACGTATTTGAATTTGAACATCATAATATTTAATTATAAGAAAGTAGATTTAATTTTACAGTAAAAATAATCAATTTTTTTTAAAAAATTTTTTCCAAGAGAAAAATATATCTTTTTAGACATTCGCTATTTCCGTTATGATATTCATGAAAATTTCTATCCCCTTTAAGAAAATGTCCTTATTCAGAAATTCATTATCACCATGCATACGAATTGGTGTATAATTAATTGGAGTGAAACCAAAAGTTGGCACGCCCATCTAAAAAAATAAAATTTTTAATAATTTAATTATTTGAACATTCACATAATTTAAAAAATTTCTTATTTAATAAATACTTATATATACTTAATAAATTTGAAATTTAATAATTAATTCTCTATAAAAGTAAAATTAAAGAAAATAAAAAAAATAATCATTAAGAAAATATTTTTAAAAATACTCACACTTCGAAGAAAACGTGAATCTGATGCTCCCAAACGAATCATTGGATCGAGTTTTATATTTAAATTATCGGACGCTTTTTTGAATGCCATCCAAAAAATATTAGAACTGTCCATTTTTGTATTATCTACATAAGGTTCCTTAAGTTCTGTCGTATAATAAACACCATTACCGGCATCTTTGCACCAATTCTGAATCATCTGCTCAAATTTTACATGATCAACATCAGCAGCCAAACGAATATCAAATCCTACTGAAAATTCCTTGGGAATAACATTAATCTGCACACCACCCTAAAAAATGTTAATTGCAATTAAATTAAATTGAAATTTAATAAGTTAGACATGAACTGTTCAACATAGTCTAAATAAACAAAATATTTTTAAACAAAATCCACTAGCTCACCTTGATCATCGTTAAATTCATACTCGTCACATTTCCAATTTTAACATCAGGATTCTTCAATTTCTCCTTCTCGGATTCACGAAATTCTTGAAAACGTTCTAAAATGAAAAGTAATTTTTCCCCAGCCGTGTCATTTGGTAGAAGAGATGCATGTCCAGTTGTTCCGGTACAATGAATCCAAATACGAAATAATGTTCGTTCACCGTAAGTTAGTGAGAATTCATCATTCTCAGAGGCACTACCCTCATCCAAGGCAAATCCAATATTCATTGATTGAAAATCATCTGTTTTTGTAAATGCACCCATTCCCTGATGTCCTCCAATTTCTTCATCCGGAACAAAAGAAACGTGAATTGTTCTCTTTAAACGTATTCCATTTAATTTTAAGCGACGAATCGCCTCTAAATGCTGAATACTAACGCATTTACAATCTTGCGAACCTCGCGCATAAATATCTCCATTCTCATCCATGTGAGCACTGAATGGCGAATATTTCCAATCTTCCTATATAGAAACATAAAAATTACATTTAAGATGAATTTGTTGTATTTCTAAATATTTATATATTTCAAAATAGTTTAACGAAAGAATTTTACAGGAAAAACAGGAACTACGTCCATGTGGCCATTTAATAGAATTGACTTCTTCTCTGGTTCGGTTCCCTCCCAGGTGACAATTACAATTGGTTTGTTAGGACGTACTTCGAAAATCTTTATCGGAAGTTGCATACTTTCGGCTTGTTTTTTAAAAAATTCTACACAACCTTCTGTGAAATTAAAAATAGCTAAATTAAATCATATTATCTTATTTAATTTTTATTTTATTTTTTAGAGAAGTATCTGTCTGCGTCTGTATAACTTTATCGCCACGATAACTTGAGAAAATTTTTCTTTTGGATTAAACTTAAGAATAACTCTTTACAATAAATGTTTAAAATTTCATCCAAGTTTCTTTACCAACATCTCTTTCAAAAATTAATTTAAGAAAAATGATTAAAAACTTACTGTAATTAACATCCGGATGTACGCTAGGAATTCGAAGATATTCTTGAAAATTTTCTATAGCCTTTGCATCCATTGCAGATGTATTTGATGCCATTTTACCTTCACAATATTAATTCTTTCACTTTCTTTTTTTCTCGCAAAATAAAAAGAAAACAATCTCGAGTCGACTTGTGTCTTGATAAATTTAATCTTTTCGCAAACTTGTTTGCTAAACCGTTTTCGCGAATTTAAATCCACCGATAACGTTCAGATTTCACGTCACCGAGAGAACCTGTAGATAAAATGATAAATTCCAAAATATTATTTTTAAATCACCAGAAAAAAAGAAAGAAGAATAGTTATTTTAATAATATTTTATATAAAATATATTAAATTAATAAAAAATTATTAAAAAAAACTATTTTTTAATTTTGACATTTATTAAAATAATTTTTTAAAAAGATTAAAAATTAAAATTGCCAATTCGTACCTTTAAAGATAAAAATTATTAAATTGGAAACTATAAAAATATTAAAAATGACAAACATAAAAAATTTTGGAAAATTAAATAATTTGGCAAATAAAAAATGAAATGGCAATCATGCCCACCATCAAGGAATGTACTACTGCACTGAAATTTATGTACCTCCGCCATTTATAATTTATTAAAAAAAATTATTTTGTATTTACATAGCTTACAATATGTATTAAAAAACAATAAAAATATCTTATCTCAAATATTTTCGTCAAAAAAAAAAATTCTTAAAAAATTTTTGGACTCTTCAAAAGTACTTTCCCCGTCTTTTAAACTATACACCCTCTTACGAATATCGTAGGAATTTAAAAAAATTTTGTTACTAAAATGCAAGTGAACTTCCCACAAATATCGTATATGAAATTTGTACCACCCACGTGAAAAAGTTCCCGGGAATTGGACCAAGAAATTCCCGGTAGTCACTCTCGAGAAATTTTCGGGACTCTCCCGTGAAATTCACGGGATTTTCTTAAGACTTTCCCGGGAATTTCTCGAGAGTGACTCCCAGGAATTTCTCAGTCCAATTCTCGGGAACTTTTTCACGTGGAAGCAGAAGATCAAAATTGTCATAGAAAGAAGTTTAATTTAAATTCTTATTAATTTTAATAATTTTTACTGACTGGAAACATTCTAGATTGTTGCTAGGATGTTGCTGAACAACATCCTAAAAGATAGAAAATTTTAATTCTCACTTTTATGCACTTTTAAATAAAAGTAACCACAGCCGCCAAATAACAGAAGATTAAAATTGTTGTAAATAGAAGTTTAATTTAAATTCTTATTAATTTTAATAATTTTTACTGACTGGAAACATTCTAGATTGTTGCTAGGATGTTGCTGAACAACATCCCGAAAGATAGAAAATTTTATTGTGACTTTTAAGCACTTTTAAATAAAAGTAACGCCAGCCGCCAAATAGCAGAAAACCATTTAATTTAAAAAGAAAAATTTTAAATAAAAATTATATTTTGAAATCTTTTTGAATTTTCATTGAATTTTTAAGAAAAAAAAAAAAAATTTTTCTTCAGTAATTCTTTTGGCAAGATATGGAAAATGAATGGATTCACGTTGCTGCAGTGGCTAGTAATAAAAGGAAAAAAGTAGACATTATAAAGTCACAGCTGTAGAGGCAGAATTATTTATCAATGGATGTTCAGCTGAAGATAAGGATACAGTGTTAATCACTAACTGTCTTTAAATTTTTAAAAATATGAATAAAAACCAAGTTCTTGAACACCTTGATCAAATTTAATACTTGTTAAAACATTCAATCGCAGATGTATGTTTTGAAGACGTGATTGACATGGCTTTCATATCTCATTGTTTTGGTGACTTGTTATCAAAAAATCTAAAGGATCAATTAATAAATTTGAAAGAAACATCAGAATTTTTCAAAACAAATTTATTTAGATTGGGAATTTTTGGTAGAAAAAAATAGCGAACCAGTGTGAATGCAGCTTTAGTGCGTAGGGTCTAGCCAGACGAGTACGAGAACGAGAGCAGAATATTACGAGACGCGAAGATAGGAGAGTCGTGAGAGACGAATGCGTGTGTGTGTGGTTTATATTTATACTTGAAGTTAATGTATTTTGAGTAACAGGCTTACCGGTCGTGTTTTTTTTTTAAAAATATTATATTCTTTTTGTAATTATCAGTGTTTAAATTGGTTTAACTATTTACTTCCACTATTATCAATAAATCATTGTTTTTAATTACATTGAAAACCATTCCTCGTGTTTTATTCGGAGGTTATCCGGCATCCTCAGGAGATATCTAATATTTCCTAACAATAAATTTCTTAACAGAAAATGATTGTCACAAATTCATGCGCCTCTAATTTTATATGTGCTGAAAATAAAAAGTTAGCATAAAACTTCACTTTTTAAATCAAATCTAAATTCAATTTTATTAACTCTCTGTATTTATGACTTTTGTCAAAATGTTGTGCTATTTGAATTATAATTGCATTCCTGAGTATATTTGTATGTATTGTATATCATGTATAACTGATTATTTTTAATGTGCTGTTAGAATACACAGAAATTTTTTCAAGGGTCTGTTTTCACTTATTTGGACCCTTGTACAGTAAATATTTTGTATTTCCATTCTACATAATAGTTTTTATAAGGATTTTGCATTTCTATTGCTTTAGTAAACATTCAAGGTACATTATATGACAGTTGAGAATTATTATTTTTAATAATTAATTAAATATATATATTGACAAATTTAATTAATTTCAAGAAGAATTGGAATTATTAACTGTTTGCAAAAATTTAAGTTTTTTTAAATTTCTATTTAAATTCATTAAAAATTGAAATTTTATAAAATTTCAAATTAAAATCTTTTGAAGTTGATCTATTTATGAAAATTGTGAGAGCAACTATTTTAAAATTGAATTGATTTTGAAATATTTAAGAAAAATTCGAGGGGTTTCTTACTCATGAAATAACGTAAAATTCTGGTTCAGATCTTGTCATACTCTGTATCAACAAAACTACAATTATGTTAGATTTTGTCAGAGTCTGTCACTGAACGCGTGCGCAAGGAACTAGATAAAACGCTCAACTTCGCATGATTTCGTAAAAATCTGTCAAGCAATGTTTAAATTAATCTAACGGAATCTCGTAATTTTATGACAGTTTTTCAAGATTTAAGTTATTAATTGTCAGAAATACAATAACTTGAAGGATTTGTATATTAGAATTCGTGGTGATTTCATAGTTTATGAGACAAACAGAAAAGACACCAAAATTCATAATTTTTTTATGAATTTTAAAATTTCAATTTTTTCCAGTACTTTTAATAAAAATGTATGACTTTTCCCTGAATAAAAAATTTTTAAATTATATTATTTTTAAAATTGCAAATTTTATTTTAAAAATAAGGAAAAAGTTAGTCGCGTGCTTTAGCGCGCGAATTGTTGCTGGTGACGTAATATTATCTATCAGAACATAAAAAAATAAAAGCTTTCACAAAAGAAAGGAAGGGAGGAAGAACACCAGTTGTAATGTTAAAAAGAAGTTCCTTTTTCAAAAATGCTTTCCTAACAAATCATGAAACTTTGAAAGAAATTCTATTTGTTACCTATAAGTACACATATAAGGCTTTAATTTAGAAAGGGAAAACATGATTGCACTTCAGACGAACCGTACGTGCGGAATGCTGGTCACCGGAATTCATGTTTTTCTCCGAAGGCATCACTTCCATTGCTGATATCTCAGAAAGTGTTGGATAAAAAAAGGATTTTCCCTTTCTAAATTAAAACCTTATATTTGTACTTTTAGGTAATAAATAGTATTTTAAAAAAAGTTTCATGATTTATTAGGAAAGAATTTTTGAAAAAGGTAATTCTTTTTAACGTTACAACTGGTGTTCCCCCTTTAGTTCAACTTCTTTTAACTCTTGATAAAAGTTGACATTAAATATGAATTTAATAATATGAATGTAATACTATGAATTTTATTATGAAATATAAAGTTATAGATTGTAAATATAATTGTTGTTGCAAATATAAACTTGAGAATCAAGAAAATAATACGTTTTTAATAAATTATCCTTAGCGGCATGGCATACAAAAAGTTAGACATTGGAAGAGTCGTTTAAAACATCTTCATACTTTACGACTTTCAATCTTCAAATTTCACCTGCTATTTCAGGTACTGGGATTTTACACGAAACGAAACTCTTAAGCTCGCGACAATTCTCACCAATGTGAGAAGGAAATATACATTACTGGAGAAAGGAGACTCTTATGACTCGACGTAGCAGCATGTCGATTTACTCCATTCAGTGCGTGATACTTAGCCCCGCATGTGTGGCTACCACCTCTCCTCGACCTAACGGATGAAATTCAGTTCCTTATTTTGTTTTTAAAAAATATTACTAAAATAACAAATTAAATTGACAATTCAAATAAAAAAAAATGCTATCAAACTATTTTATAATTTGCGAATGAAACTATTTTTTATTGAATAATTTTTTAATCTTCTGTGCAAGTGTAATGTACCGCTTTTAGACTGTCAAAATTGATTTTTTTAAAAATATTTAATAATGAATACATTATTAGTGATTTATCGAAACATATTATTTGGTGTTTGTTAAACATATTTTTTGAACATAAATAAAACTAATGTGCATTAACTTATAATTTAAAAAAAATGCTCAAAACAAAATAGTTATACACTAATTACCAATGAAGAAGAAAGCACCAAAGATAAAAGGAAAGTATTCAACTACTTGTAGCACTTGATAAAAGTTGACATGTATCAGTGACAGTAACACGTGTGAGTAATTGCGGGGTTTTGCACCGAAGTACATAATATTTGTCAAGGACAGTAGGATGTTGACGGATAACTTGAGTTGAAGCCCTTAACAAGCAAAAGGAAAATGAAACAAACAACAATAAATGTTAAAAATTGTTTATGTGTCGTAGCAAAAAGAAATTTTAAGTGTTTTAATTTGTGAAAGATCTTCCATTATAAGGAATTAGAAAGTTTTTAAAATGTGTAGACAAGCAGCTGTTTTATTCGTCCTGTGTTGGACAACCAATTTCGTTTTTTCTAAAAGTGAGTCGAACATTCAAAAGGTGAATAACAGGAAGATAACAGATTTGAACGCTAATGTGTCAAATCTTAACGAAAATCAGAAAGTTTATCGGACAAATGTGTTATCCAATGGAAATCATAGTATGAAAAGTGATTACGAAAGAAATGACAAACATCTTTTACTATTTAGTAAAAATAATCCTGAATTGGATTGGAAAACGGCCGTAAAAATGTTTACTAGTAATTTTGAAAAAGAAGAGGATATTGATATTGATTTTATGACTCAGGATTTAGGAAAAACATTGAACAGTATTCAGTGGCTTATAGATCTTTATGATCCACTACGGTGGCGTAAAATACCGGGAAATGCGGACGAAAGTTGTAAAGAAGACATGGAATTGTTTCTAGACTCATTAAAAAAAGGAAATATTTGGGCTGCAAAGAGTAAGTGTGAATTAATTTAGAGAAAATAAATAAAGGGGGATTTCTCATGGGAAAAAAAGTTTTTTTCTAATTTTTTTTTGTTGCTTTTTTGCTATTCTTAAAATCTCTAGAATACAGGTTTAAAAATTTTTTAACGTAATTTAGCACCTATCAAAAGTTATAGTACTAATGTGCTATAACTGTACACTACCGTCAAAAATTAGCGATATGGCTCCACGCGCATGGCCCAAAAACATACAAATATTTACATTATGATTTTTCTGTAAAAACAAATATCAGAAAATTAAAAAATCTACCGTTTGAAAGCTTATAATATTCCACGTTAAATGATATATAATATGAAATTTTTATAAATTAAACAATGCAAATTTTTTGACAATTTTTTAAACTTTGGCATATTTTTTTAAAAATTGCAGACAAAATTTAAAACTTATATAGGTGTCATCCTTCAAGTCTCATCTTTAATTTAAGATCAAAACTTTAAAACAATGTTATTCGATTTACAAGATATCATTATAAATGTCAGCATGTTTTTGGATAAATGCATTGAATTAGTCAATTTTTTATGGTTTTTGACTGAAAATGCAAGGACGAACAATAAAAAGACTCGCGAGGAACAGGAAGAGGCTTAAGTGGAAGCCTATGACTTACTATACGGACCTGGGATAGCAGATTAAAATTTGGTAATTTTTATTTAATGTCGTACCATTTTTTTAAATTTTGATTTTTTAAGGTAATTTTAGGTATAACCACTACAAAAATGTTAAATTTTGACATATTTTTCACACTTTTTAAGAGGGATCTCCTATAAATAATAACACAACAAACAATAGAAATATCGTCACATAATGAATATATTCTTATACACCAAAAAAATAGGCCGAATGTGCTTTTTACTTTAGAAAATTTTGTCTAAGTACAAAAGCAATACACGCAAATTAATTCTTTCTTTAAAAAAGCAATTTTTGCCTTAGTTGATAAGGTTACAAATTCTTGTCTTTTTTCAAGTAAATGGTTTATAGAATGTCAAATCGAATTTCAAAATTAATTAAATCAGTGACTACCGAAGTATGAAATTTATACTACAGAAACGAAATCTAGGAAATTTTGTTGAAGTATTTATAGAACTAAATTCACTTTTTCGATAAAATAGTTTTATAAATAAATAATATATTATGTGGCCTAAGGCTCGTTTCAGCAATCACTAAGAGAAAAAAAAATTTGAAAAAAAATTTGAGATGCAAAAGCAAAATGATTTCCGATTTGGCGTGGAATGCTCTCTATATGGTCAATTCCATATGAATTTACAGTATTTTTAAAATTTTATTAAATATTAATTAATTAAAAAACACTCTTAAAAATTTTTTGCAAGAAAACTAACACTCCCGATTTTTAAATTAAACAATTAAGTTTTAATTTTAAAAACTAATTTAATTATATCATATTTTTTAAATAAATATTACAACACGAAAGAGAAAATTCGAAGAAACGCTTTTATTTTTTCAGAAAACTTAAAATGAAAAATGTATTTTTTGTTATATTTTGTTGGAGAGTGTTTTTTCTCGTCCTGAATATGGATTGTGTTTGTTTTCATAACACCCATCGAAATGTGGGACACAACAAGAAATGTAAGTCAACACAGAGTGTAACGACGTTGTTGTCAATTTCAGCTCTCAAACAATCTTCTTTTAAATTTTTGTAAGAACTTTCTGTTCTTTTCGTGATGAGAAGATGCGGCTAAGATGCAATGTAGAACATTTAAAATTAAAGTAGTTTTTTAATCAAATGCGGTCTCGATTTATGCTTGCTACGGTTGTCTTCTAGGGCAAAAATTTTTATTTTCAATTAAGTTTGCAATGTTTAAATACGCCTGTTAGTTATTTAATATGTATGCATTTTTTTTAAAGAAAATTCAGTTCTTAAATAAATAAATAATAATAAATAAATTCTTAAAATTGAACTGAAGTTTATATTATGACGATTGACAGATGTCGAAAAAATTGATTATTATTTTAATTAAGTTTTCTATAAATTCTCCGCGACGTCATTAATGACTTTAAATTTACGTAAGTTTCGTTAGATTTCCATCCTGTTACATCAACATCAAGAAAAGATGTATTAATTTGAAATATATTAAATAATTTTATTGGTTCATGATTTACGAAACAATCGATGTTTTTGTGAAGAAACTAAGGTTAATGGTTTTCAGCAAAACTGACCAATATTCATTACATCTGCAAATCACTAAGCGTAAAAAAATAATAGCAGCATGCCTCATCGACCTCGAAACAGCGTTCGATTACGCTTAATTTACGTTTCGCTTAATGCAAAGTAAATAGTAAATATTATAATTTGAGCGATGGCCTTCAGCAGGGGGCTGTCAACTCACAATTGCTCTTTAATATCTTGGCGAATGGGTAGGATGCGGTTAGGATGCTATAATACGTCTAACTGTGTCCCATCCAGGACGCACCGATTTTATTGTCTCGCTGCGGCTGACGTTGATGCGTGCCTGGTACTGTACGTTGAGAAGATTTCGGTGTTGATCCCATTCTTATTGAGCGGTTGGTATCTTGTTCTGTCTGTAGTCTTTAAACGGTCAGTTATTTATATTTTTATGGGTTCGCTATCTGAAATTATATTTCCTAGCCGGATTGCTCTCAATGTTTAGATTTGTTGAGCCGTTATAAGAAATAAAACTTCATGATCAACGTTTCCAATGAAAGTGTGTCATTGGGACATAGTGTTGTCAAGTATTTAAGCACAGGTTTAGGGTCCCAAATCTCGCCGAATCTAGATCCTTTTAGGATCCGTAAATAGAAAGTATTGTATATGGAGTGAGGTGTTAAAGAAAGGCCAAAGGATCTCCTTTTACATCCCATTCATTAACCAAAACTGGTTCCAGTTATTTTGTATAAAGCACCGACGTTTCGACCTCTGATCGAGAGCCATCATCAGAGAGTTTTTAGATTTCAAAGAAAAATCATAGATTGATGTTAGAAAAAATGATATAAAAAAATGTAAGAAGAGGAAGTGATGTGAGGATGAAAAAAATTTTAGTAGTAAGATCCTGAAGGCGATAACCTGATATTGTGATATCATAGTTTTACCTTACTACCGGTAATTGAAAAAGTCGATAAATTTATACAATCCATATTTGTTATGTAGTAACAGAGCTAAAATTAAGTTTAGAAAATGTATTGCGCACAGGTGAAAGTTATGGAAAACTACTCCGCAAAACTTATTCTTTAAAATTATTAATTAACATTTGGTTGTAAGCTAACACCATTTTTACAATTATGTCAGAGTAAGCTGACAGTGATGTAATGTAATGTAAGCTTCTAGTGATCCTCAGATGGAAGCTTACAGTAATCTTTCATATAAGCTTACGTTGACATTGCGGTGTAAGCTTACAGTTAACTTACAATCTAATAGTATAAACAGTAGTTACATACAGTATTCTTTGTAATAAATGATATATAAAGTCATAATGTGCAAAATAAAAATTATTTTTCTAAAAGTTTACATATAAATTTACCAATTCAATTTTTATCAGTTATGATAAAAAATAATTTGCACTGTTATAAAATATTAGTTATCAAATAAATCAGTGTAACTTAAGACACCATTTGTTTCTGTGAATGCAGTAAAAATGCACTTTCTACTTGAGGAAAGTCTGCGAGACTTACATAACTGACAATGAACTTTCAATATTTTCAAAGCATTTCTGTAAAGTAACGCTCATAAGCAAATTAATGTACAAAATCATTTCTTATATGATTCTACTGATTATATAATTATGTCTCATTAACAACAAATTTTCTGAATTGTGTAGGCGAACAATTGCAAATTAAACAAAAAAACTTTATATATATTTTAATGTTTCTTAGGGTTCCGTACACCGTAGGTATACCAATGTAACCCTATTGGTGAGACTCTTGCGTCCGTAGCCAAATTCGTGTCCCCTCCTAGCAGCTAAACTATTTGATCTAGAGAGCTCAAACTTGGTACAGATATGTACAAGTTTGGCAACTTTGCATAGAATTTACTTCTTAAAACTGAATGTAAACAAATCATAGGAACCACTTGCAACACGACTAAAGAAATCCAGTGTGGCCAGACTTTTCAAAGTACCAAAAAGCAAGTCAAATCAGAAAATAATGGTTTATGTTTTGATTAGTTCAGTCAAGCGATAGAAACTGCTTAATAGGGAATAGTTGGGAAACAAAAATGACAAAAATCTTCAGAAAAAAATTGTTTTTGACTTTTATCAAAAGATTCATTTTTTTAAAAAACAAAATATTTTTTCGATAATGAAGTTTATATAATAAATAAATAAATTCTATTAGATTTTAGAAAATTAATCTTAATTAAAGCCTAAAAGTAGCAGTTGCATACCCTAAAAAAATAATCTCATAGTTAGAGGAAAAAGTGTCATCTAATATCCTCTCAAATTTATCTCTCAAAACAAAAATATTCTTTTATATACTACAAAATTTCTCATATAATTTTATCTTTTGCTTTTAGTGTTGGATGCTAGTGGAAGATACACCTCGCAGTTCTACTTTGGAAATGGATATTGGCTCGGTTCTAGAATTCAATGTACAGAACTAAATAATACTAGGGCAGACGCTATTAATCTTACAAATGAAGTACCTCCATTTTCAGTCAAATTTTATGTAGCAAGAATGTTCTTACAAATGCCAAAGCAGTTTGCAGTAAGGGTAAGGAATATAAATATTAAAAGTTATTTTTATAAAGTGGAATTGTTCTGTAATGTTCCATCTTGATTTAATTTCATCTTGATTTTTCTTGCACAAAACTTAAGGATATTTAATATTCGACAGAAGATTAATTTTTAGAAAATTCGTATTTGTATTTGGTTGGGGCAAAATTTCTGAAGTGTACCACCTAAAAAGTTCTGGGATTGCTTTGATATTTTGGTACTGTCTGAATGCAGAAGGGTTTTTTACTGGCCTGAAAGGAACAATAAAGAATTGCAAAAAATATAAAATCTCAGGACAATTAATAATTCAGTTTATTATCTTAAATATAAAAATTAAATCAGCAAATACAAATCTATGATTAAGTAATTCCTATCAAGAGGGACCAGATCGATGTACTATTTAGTTTAACTTAGTTGTCTAAGCAATCATTAAACTACCGCGTTTCTACTAAGTGATTTGTACTTGGCTAAGCCGTTCAGTTTTGCTGTCCGAGAAGAGATAGGAATGGGTTCAAGAACGGTGAGAGTTCAAATATCGAACATACAAATACAACAAAAAAAAGGAAATAATTAAACATTATGAAATGAATATTTACTATTTCATAAGAAAAGAGAATTTGATTTTCGCAATATAAAATAAATAAAAGCAATTCTAATGACAAAATGTTTCTATAAATTACTAAGCGAACAATATATAAGTTTTAGCATAATTTCTATAACAAAAATAATATAAAAGAAGGTAAAACTAACTTTTTTTAAACAAGGCCCCATTCTTAGAATTAATACCGTATACCAATATTTGAACCACAAAAATCAGACATATTTTCCTATAAGAAAGTGAAATAAAAAAATTATATTTTTTTACCCGAAAAAGTTACAAAATCCCATAACTTTTAAATTAAAGGAAGTGAATCCCTAAACTTTCATTGACTAGTATTATATTTGTTCAAAAATGAAACATTTCATTGCGGGTTTGATGTAAAACATTACTTTTTATGTTTTAGGAAAGACAGGTATTTTTGGGACTGTGTTTACCATCATCGTGTAATGTAACTTCTGTTACGTCAATAATGAACACAATTGCACATAAAGTAGAAAGTGAAGGAAATATCAATCAAACAAGTGGGCCAAAGATTTTAATTTACGCTGTTAAGCCAGTACCTTCAACTGACTATAATTTATTGAAAGACAACAAATTTTTTATTCTTGTGTAAGTCTTGATAGATTATTTAATTTAACAATAATCTAATATTATACGATAATGTTATGTAATGTTATGAATTGCAGTATTAATACTAGTGGGTTATATGGAAGAAACATTTATTATTTTAAATAGAAAAAAATATCATTCATATTGGATACGCTATTTAAAAGTTTTACAAACTGACACTTGCTTCGTAATAAACGACCCTGAAAAACCCAGTGTTGCGAATTTCAAGAAAATTACGTCTATTTTTATAAAAGTCGTTCTTCATATTAAATTTTGAAAATTCTGTATTTTTTGTACCTTTTCACGAAAATTGATGCCTAACGATTGCGATCAGTATTTTAACAATAAATTGTTTAAAAGTTATCGTGGGGACACCATTGTGTCTACAGACATACACGAAGACAGACATACAGACATTTTTCTAGACCATGTTTTTCTGACTCAGGGCATCCCAAAACGTGAAGATTTTATAAAATTGGCAAAAGTCAATTTTGGACCAAAACTAATACCTTTTCATGTGATGAGAATGTAAAAATCAAGATGTAATTTAATCAAGATGAAACAAAGTCTGAGTGTCCCCTCACGATGGCTGTTTTGTTCAGTCAAAATGTAGGTCAATTTTGACCTATTTCGTAACCTGTCGGTCAAAAAGAGGCTCCATATAAATCCTCTAAAGGATAAGATCGTTACCCTATGTCAAAAATTAATGATAAATTTGACATTCAGGATAAAAAGTGGCTTTGTAAAGGACCCTTCATGGGTTTATATCAAATGAAACCCTTTTAACGTAAGAGGGCCAATATCGTTACCGTACGTCACAATTTATGTCAACAGTGTCAAAAATTAGATTAAATTTAAATCTACCTTCAAATGTAAAATCTGGCAAAGCGAACTAATATTTCCACAAACTTTAGTACTGTTAGTGACTACTTCAATCATAAATGCACTGTCCATCTGTTTTTTAAAGAAATTCAAAATTTGACCCTTTTTGTAAATCAAAAAATTTGTTGACTTTTTTTTAAATGATCCCTTTTTCTTTTATTTAACCTTAAAATATAGCATAAGTCTTAAATCTCCTGGTATTTTGAAGTAACATTAATATATAAATGTAATAAAAGACTTTTATAATGTAAATTAATTGGATTTTTCAGAGGCGTTGGGACAGTAATAATAATACTTATGATATGCTCAGCACTTTGTGAATATGGTCATAGTTCCAATATTGTTGATCCTGAATTATCTAATACTTCCACCAATAATCTGAGAAATTGTATGTACATGGAAAATTTGCCTAAGGACCACAAGATATACATTGAAGACCGTTGTAACAAACAAATGTTTAATAAAATTTCAAATCATAATGAAAGTGATGTACGTTCAGCAGTAATAAAAAATCAAGGTATATCACTTTCTATTTTATTTACTAAATTTATTTACTGTTTATTCTTGTCGAAAATATTGTATAATACGTGACGCTCCACGGAGAAAGGGACCTATCTTCCAAACATTAGGCACAGCCTTCCGGGCGCAGTTCAGGAAAACAGCCTCATGTTATTTAAAGATAGGTCCCTAGGAGCTTCTTTAAAAAATTTACTAACTTTACAATAACAAATTAGCGCAGATTTGTCTATTACATTAAATTTTGAATCACATGTAAAACATTTTGCAGATTTGTGGTACAGATGTTTGCTAGCATTCAATCCAATTACCAATGGAAGTAAAATAATAAATACTGATCCTCCTGCAAGAGATAACTTGAATTGTATTCATGGACTTAGGGTCTTCTCCTTGGGTTGGGTTGTTCTTGTTCATACGTATCTTCAAGTCTTTTCTATCGCCGGTAAGAATACATATTTTTAAGCATTGCAAACAATATTATGCATTGGTTTTCTTTTTAATTAACATTTTTTTGCTATGTTAGAGTAAAAATTTTATTACGTAACATTCATTAACTCAACGCTGTTAATTTTTTTGCTTGTAGACAACAAAACTTTGAGGACTGTAACTGAAAGAAACGTTATGTTTCAGACTGTAAGCAATGCTACATTTTCCGTCGACACATTTTTCTTCATCAGGTAAGATGCTTGTATATTTTGAATAGATAAGTCAAGATAGTTAATTTGTTAACTATGTGAATTTCAGTGCATGAACTACATGTGTAATTTAATTTTGATTTCAGTGGTTTATTGGTTGCCATACTGTTTTTTCGGTCGAGGAGCAATGTCAAAAGTGAAAACAAAAGTTTTCTTACAACATGCTTATCCAAGTTTTTAATTATGATAGTTTATCGCTTTTTCCGGTAAGTATGAATACATATATGTACGTATAAGTTTTTGAGGACTGTTTGTTACATTAGTGATATGTTGGTCCAGTTGAAGCAGTTTAGAGAATTTTAAGTTTTTTAGGAAAAAAAGTCTGGAAATGAACTGAATGATATTAATATTGAAGAAAAATGGTTCGATGTTAAAATATTTTTATTTCGAATAGTAAATAAATCAAGAGCGCGCCAGTATTAACTACTAGTAATGATTAAGTAAGAGACACAATTAGCATTGGTAATATTCGTAGATAATTTTGTGGAAAGATCTACAGTGAAAATAGAAATGTTGCAATTAGATAGATCCTGCTGTGTAAGCAGATACTTAAGATTTAATTAAAAAGTTGAGAAATGTACTCTAATGCTAAACTTTTTTGTCTAAAGATTGACTCCAGCTTATCTTTTCGTCCTCGGAATGAATGAGATTGCCATAAAACATGCTTTATCTAAAACCGTCTTCTCACCTGGTATCGCCGATCATTTAACTTGTGAACAGTTCTGGTGGAGAAATGCCTTATATATAAATTCGCTATTTCCTCGAACAGAAATGGTAAGTTATTTCTAGTCTTTAAGTATTTATTTAATATAATATTTTTTATCGTAATTTTGTATTTTCAATACTTTTTAGTGCATGCTGTGGAGCTGGTATATGGCAAATGATACTCAGTTTTATGTACTTGGAATTCTACTACTGCTGCTTTCTGTCAGGTTTCTGAAGATGGTGGCTCTTATAGTTTTTTGTTTGATTGTTTCTTCTTGGTTTACAACATTTTCCATTGCTTATAGCAATGACTACATTGCTAGGTATGTTTAATTTTTGTATATACATTTATTTAGCGTTAAATATAAAAACTCTAGATCATATTATCTTATTGTTTTCAGAATTCAAGAACCATTTGCACTGTTTGATGAGTTATATGACAAACCATGGCTACGAGCAGGGCCATACTTTATTGGTACAATAACTGGTTACATACTCTTTAAGAGCAAATGCAAGATTTTCATTCCAAATGTGAGTTTAACATTAAATTGATAGTATTAACATTAATATACAAATGCTAAGATTCTTTATATGAGATTAACTATAGTGTGGGCTATATAGAGGATGCCAATTTTGGACTTTAGTCCAGTCGCCCTATGAAAAAAGTCGTCATTTTCTGCTAAAATTGATACTTCAATTTTGACTGTGGATTTATATAGTGTGTGATGGTAGTATAAATATGCATATGATTTTCAGTCCAGATTTTTAAGCTACGAGTTATAAACAATGCCAAAGTTGCTGAAAAACAGTATTTTGATGACCCCATCTGAAGTGGAAAACATATAATATTCATGGTTGCATCCCACACTACATGAATCCTTAGTCAAAAGTGAAGTATCAATTTTGGCTTAAAAAAACATAAGGCGACTGGACTATTTACTATAAATTATAATACTAACATTTTTAATATTACTATGATATTTAATAAATTGTAATAACTTATGTTTATCAGCCTTGAAAAAATAATTAATAATTTTATATTGTGTTATATTTGTTTGTTTCATTTTTAGTACCTGAAAGTTCTTTGTTGGATTTTGTCTACATCAATAATGCTCTCTGTGGTTTACGGTCTTTACGCCGGGAATTTAAGCATTCTTACAAGTTCCATATACGCATCATTGAGTCATACAGCATGGGCAATGGCTGTCGCTTTTATTGTTATACAATGTTGTACAGGATCAGCTCAAGTAATTGATAGTCTTCTGTCCATACGGCTGATGCATCCTCTTTCAAGGTTAACATACTGCGCATACTTGGTCCATCCTGTGATTATGATGATTACTAGTACGCAATTGGATGGTCCTTTTCATTTACACAATGGCCTAGTGGTAAAGAAATATTTTTAAAAACGTTTTAGGAACGTTTCTAGAACAAAGACGTTTTCATACCCAGAGTATTCTAAGATGTCCTTTGATTGTATATTAAAAATAATAATTTTTAAATCTTATTCTGATTAAATAGTGATGAATCTAATTCTTTTGTAATTTAATTTCAGATAATTATATATTTGGGAAATCTAGTGGCTTCATACCTACTGTCATTTTGTGTATCGATTGCTCTCGAAGCACCACTTGTCAATTTGTTAAAGATTATTTTCACATCAAAGAAAAGAATAAAATAGATGGATTCTGCAGTGATACTACATATGAGTATGTGAATTAAATAACATAGTTAAAGAATAATTTAAAATATGTTATTGTATCGACTTACGGTCTATTGGTATTGAGGATGATGTTTATGGATAACGCTATTTAAACAATTATAAACCTTACAAACTTACTTGTATTTTCCTAATTTTTAAACCGGCATTTCAGAGTCCCAAGGGTTCATAAGTTGGCACAGAAGAAAAAGATGGCATAACCCCAAGAATTGTAAGAGTGGAACAGGGTTGAAATGAAATTTCGATGCCCAAAACATACCGAGGATTCGCCTTGACTACAACCTTCTCTGTCGGATACTTTCTTAATTTTGGAAAATAAAAAAGAGTTTTTTTTATTTAATATTTTACAGTATCTGCTGCTTGTTCATATAATAAATATTGTATATAAATTTTAAAAAATAATTATTCAATTACCTGGTTTAATAATTTTCCATTTTCAAACTCCTGTTTACGAGGATACCACAAAAGTAATCTAACACATTTACCTCCCATGTAGAAATTTCCTTAAGTTTCTTTACCAAAAATTGAATTCTAGTAAGAATCTTGTAAGAAAAAATGTAGGGAACTAGTTGGGCCCCGGGATTCTCTGTGACGCTCGGATCTTGTAAGAATGATTTTGTACCTGAGTTCTGGTAGGGACTTAGATCTACAGAATCCTGAAGAATAAAGGAATTAATTTAAATTTTTTAGTAGTAGCACCACAATCCGAACGCTATCAGACAATCAAAATTTGGCTGAAAAGACGTTAAAAATTTATTTTTTCTAATTTTTATAATTTGTCATCTGGAAATCACCTTAGTTGTAGTAGGAACGGAGCCCTACAGGATCCTGAAGAACAGAAATGATTTAATTTTTTATTAATAGAAGTTGACTGGTTCGACATGCCCTTAACATTATCGGAACGCATGTTGAGCAGGACGCTAAGTATAGTGTGGGTACATACATGTGCTGCTGTAGCATTTGAGTGTTTAGATAAAGTGATGGTAACTGATTTGACTAACATTTTCATTTCCGTGTATAAAACTGTGATTATTTCGTAATGACTTGCCTGAGATTGTAAAGAGTAAGAATAGAGAGTCTTGTGCGAGCTGTCGCGAAGATCACTTGTCATTTTGTGACAAGCACTTTGCGTGTTGAGCTTTTAAGATTTGTGTAAATTTCCATTTCCAATCCTTTGTATATTAATTGGATTGAATAAATGTCATCATAACTGAAATCCTACAGTATTTTAATTGTAAATCAAGTAATTATAATTTTATATTAGAGAACATTACAATTTGAATTTTGAATAATTAATATTATGTGTAATAATAGTTGTATAAATAATATAATAATAATAATGAAAATAATAATCTACTTGATAATCAAATAATAAGCTAGAGTATATACAATGTACATTATTGTAACATTACTGTACGATTACTTTGACGCCGCCATTTTAATATTACTGTAATATTACGTGCTAATAGGGCAATAACATATTACGTAAGATTTTTATATAAACCTAAGAAATGTAACTTTATTACTATGTAATAATAATTTTTAACTAGAACACTATATTTAAGTACTACAGTAATGTCGATTTTATGTATAAAGCAAAGTTCTTGATGTTATGTCATTAAATTATAAATTTAAATAGTTTTACTTTTAAAAAAATTGAATAGAAAATTTTTTATTATATACTACCGGAATTGATGACTAGAATAACAGGTCATAATAATAATAAGCTAATAATTTTTTTGTAATTCTGAATTTAAGTTCATAGTTGTATGAGTAATTTTGATTGTGATGTTGAATGGATTAATAACCTAATAGATTGTTGACTCAGCTTGATTTGTATAATTATGTATTATAACACTTGTGAAAGCACTTCTCTGAATGATATAATATAAATTAGATTAATGGTAACTTCCTTCAGTCTTTATATCATAAATCACAGGATGAAGTTTCTTACATGGATTTTTATAAATTTTTCGTGTGTGACGTTATTAAAAACTGACGATTTTAACGGAAATGCTGATATTTACCATGATGACTTTGATAACGTAAGTTAAAAAATTACGTATTTATTAAATTATTATACTTATAACAAAAGGATTTCTTGAAGATATTATTAGGATATCCTAAAAATCCTAAGATAAACTTTAGAAGCCAGAACAACTGAAAAGTTTATAAAACGTTACTCTATATATATAATTATATAAAAGAAAATATTCATGAAGTTTTGATAAATTTGTCGAAATCGCCTAAAATTCTTCTGATGATTATTTAAACATTATTTAACATGTTTATTAGTTTAATTTTATTAAAATTAACTATGTTTGCAGGATTCAGATGAAGCAGATTCATTTCCTGAAGTGGAAAAAATCCTACGAAGTTTAGATCAAGTATCTTTGCCATTAAATAATGAAAATGTAGTTATAATATTTGGAACAAGAAATTCAAGAAAACATTATTTAATTCAGTTACTTACGGATAGTACAGATTCACTATTGTATAATACACAAGAAAATAATTGGATTATTCCAAATACAAATTTGAAATTCTTACAAGATTCAAGTCTTTTAAATTTATTAAGTGTAAATGCATGTAGTAGTAATACATTGTATTTAGACTTTCCCACATTTAATAATAATGGAAATTTGTTAAATGATATACAGTCAAAATATTATATCTGGAAAATCTTGTCTCATGCCAAATCTGTTAAATTCCTCTTAACCATTGATTATTATATGGAAGATGAATCAATTAACATTTCGGAATTTGTAGAATTAATCAATCACATCAATTCTTTTATTATAAATACTGATAAATACAGTAATAGCTTCTCTCTTATTGTAACAGCTACAACAAAAATTCAAAGCAGAAATTACAATATTGATAATCTTAATGAAAAAGTAATTGACAATTTAGTACAAGCTTATAACATTTTATATAATACAGGCAAAAATAGTTTAAACCTTCTGAATAGCTTAATAACAACTACTTCAATAGAAGAATATAATAGAATTGAAATTCTTTTTGTACCAACTCAAGATGAAATAATCAGAGACATTTATTCATTTACAAATAATATATATTTTGTTTTGTACAAAGTAATACACCTTATGAAGTTCGTTAACCTTTCTCAAATTGATTTGAATTACGAATATATCTTAAAAAACGAAGCAAAACCAATTGAACAAAACAATATTTTTAATCTTTTGGAAAAGAATATACAAAAGAGATTAGAAAGTCAGGTGTTGGAAATTAATGATCAGCTTTTAAAATATTTTCAAAATTATGAAGAAAACGTCAATGATGTTTATGTTTTAAAAAAGTATTTTACGAGTTTGAGCAATAATATTAGTCTACTTCAAGAAAGTATAATTTATTTAGATGACTACAATAATCAATGGAAAATAAACAAGAAAGAAGCTATATCAAAAATATCAAATTTTATCAAAAACTACAACATTTATGATTTAGAAGACAATTTTGTTAACATAAATCAGTGTTATGATTACTTAGAATTTTTGGAAATTTTTAAATTAAGCAATGCTGTAAATTTGTCACAAATTTTCAATTTAAAAGAAGTTGGAAAATTTGTGGAAGAAACAAAGAATTGGTACATCTTTTTGGATAATTTTTACTTTTCGTTATCTGACATAGAGGTACAAAAACGTCGAAACAACAAGTTTTTTAGAATAAAAGAGTTAGAGGATACATGTGTAATGAAGACGTACTCCGAAAAGTTTGACGTAGGATTTGTTCGTTTCAGAGAATTGTACATGCGTGAAGTGGAGAAAGATTTTCCAACTTACTATACACCGAATGAGACATTTATCAATAAAGTTAAAATTGAACGTTTTTGTAACATATATTATCGAACTGTATTAGATGAATCAGATATGATGTGCTCTGACAATACATTGCAAATAAAAGGAGAATTCATTACATTTGATCAAATACCCCCAAATAATTATTGCGTCACTGGCATCAAACGGTTAGAATTATTTGCCTTTGATACACTCTATATAAACACTGATTTAATTCGTACTGGAGAGGAACTTGAGATTGTTGCAATTGCACCCAAATGGGTTGTGTGCGGTGAGAGGAAGATTGTATTGGATGGAATATCTGGAAATATTATTCGCCCACCAAAAGCTCCTGATAGCTATACACCCGGTTTTGATGGCGAAGATGGACAACCAGGACTTCCAGGAGGGCCGGCTGGTAACTTCCTTGGTATTGGGGCTAAACTTTATGGAGTTAATGATTGTGCAAATTATGAAGAAGAATTAGCAAACAATTCACTTACTATTAGTATGAATGGAGGTAATGGTGGAAAGGGACAAGATGGAGGAAATGGAGCAAAGGGTAAAGATGGATTAACATATGCATTTGAGTTTAAAGAATCATATTCTGAGGTATCGTCTTATGGTGACATTCCTAAAGAGATGAAAGATTGCAATTTTCAGAATATACCCTCCAATACAGTTTCCTGCATAATCGTAGAAGGTTCGAAGGGAAATGAAAACGGAGTTGGTGGAAATGGAGGAAAAGGTGGATTACCAGGTACAGCAGGGAACGTACTTTTATATTTACCTACCAATTTGTCTAATATTCAGTTAGTAGTTTATAATAAAAGTGGGATACATGGAGAAGGAGGTGTTGGAGGATTAGGTGGAATAGGAAGTATGGACGGGCGAACAATATATGGAATTTACAAAAAATGGGAACGACCTGCTGCTGGTCGTTACAAACATAAAACAGTATACAATCTGATTAATGTTACTAAGACAGAAATAGTTATGCTTCCGCAGGGAAAAAGCGGTGAGTCAAACAAAAACATGAATGGAATGATAAACTTGAAAAGTCCAGCAATGACCGAATTCCCTTTAAGTGTAAACAAATACAAAAAATATTTAAGGGAAAAAATATCGACTGGAATAAATTCTATTGAATTAATGAACTTTTACATAGTGCTAGATGCTGGACATTCTCCTGAAGATAAAATAAAAGTAACTGGTTTTGAAACAACTTTAGGATTTGTCAATGAATTAGAAGGACTAGAAGAACAATTTTTTGAACTTCATAATAAAATAAACTTTTTACCGTTCTATAAGTCTTTGTTGCGACGAGTAGAAAATTATGCCAAGGCTCCATATTATAAGGAAAATAACAAGGAACATAAAAAAGTTTTAGACTATTTATGTGCTGCTATTCAAATTAAAAAATGTATTATCAAAGACGAATCTAATAATTATCTAATCAACGATATAAAAAAACATTTGTCTCTTATTTCAGAAAGTGTACAAGAAATTTCCGCTGCTACCAATCAGGTAAACAGAAACAAAATAAACAAAAGATTTAAAAACGACATTGACAATAAAATCAGAGAAGCAAATAAAATTATTAAAATTATCGATTCTGAAGTTCAAAAAATAAATAAAAAAATGGAATCCGAAATCAAAACTCTGACGAATGTGACAATTTTTCAAGAAAAGAGAGTAGAAATAAAACTGGAAAATGACATAGAAAGGAAAAAATCGGTAGAAAAGAGATTAGTTATGAGAGGAGTTTTTGAAGTACTAAAAGGAGTATCTTTTTTAGCTTCCTTCTGTGGTCCTTGGGGAACTATTATTGGAGGATTATTAGAAACTGGTCAAAATTATGTTGAACCCCTTGTCCTAAAGTCAATGTCAGAAGAAGAAACGAGAGACTTTATATTAAAGAATTCAGTTGATGTGTTATCGAAAGCCAGAGGACATATACAATCCATAACTGATAAATTATGGTCTTCTCATCAAGAAGCTTTAAAGAAAAACATAGAAAATTTGAAGAATAAAGAAAAAGAGTTACCTGACTTAAAAGAGACAAGGGAAAAATTAGAAAAAATAAAAACAAACGATCTACTGTCTGACAATAGTATACTTGATCAAACCGAGTTAGTTATTTCTGAAAAAGAACAAAATTTAACTAATGCTATTAAATTATTAAATGTAGGTCAAGATGCTTATAATAAAAAAAAAGAAATCTTGGAAGTTCTAAAAAGTGTGGAAAAAGTAAACAGAATATACAAATCAGGTTACAAAATTCTTGACTCATGTACCTTCAATAGTCCTGAAATAGACAAAATTAATGCAGAAATAAACACTGATAAGAGTAAAGTTAGAAAATTAGATGATTTTCAAAATGACATTCATCAAAGTATTATGCCAATGTTAAGAAGCATGCGAGATGAAGTAAATAATATTGAAAATAAATTAACATCCATGTCTGAAGTTGAAATAGATGTAACGAAATGGCAAGTACAGGAAACATTGACAAATATAAAGACAAGATTAAACATTATGACAAAAGACTTTCCACAAATTTCAGACACTTTGGGAAGTCTTGTGCAACGGTTAATTGATACATTAAATACTTTAATAAACATATATGAACGCATAGAACAATATCAAGACAGAAAGGTATTAGTGGATTATATAGCTCAAATTAATTCACCCAGCATAAGAAATTTAAATATAGAGGAAAATCTTAACTATGCCATTAGTTATTTAAAGATAGTGTTAGATACTAATGCAATAATAGATCCTTACAAAAGAACAATGAATACTTTAAAACAATATGTATTTCCCTTTGCAAAATTTTACATCTCTGAATTTGGATTGCCTTCCGATTTAGATATAAATGATTTTAGTAACGTACAATCAAATGTAATATATCAAATGAAACGGGTTATGAAGTACTTGGAAAAAAGCGAAGTATCGATAATACCTTATGTTGATGAGCATGTCCATGAGGGACTATTTTCAATAAAGAATGAATTTTCTGGACCTTTTTATACTTGGAAAAATTCTAATTATAAATTGTTAATTAAAAAATTTTTGTCTGGAGAAAAGATCTTATTGGAAGCTAATGTACGAGAAGGACTTAAAATAAATGCTGTCAAATTCAAGACAATTGCACTAGAGTTCGATGCAGTAAATCCGAGGTATCAAGAAGATTTAGATAAGATATTAAACAAATTTTATGTGACTATGACACATATGGGTACTTCATATTACAGGTGAGAAATAAAATAAAAAAGTTGAATTATTATTATTTTAGTGTAACATTGTTAGCGTTTTTAACTATTATAATAATTAAATTCCTTTTTTGCAGATGTGGTGAAAATTATTACACAATATCCACCAATAGACACACTTTCTCGTTTTCATTACAAAAGAAAAATGGTGATAATGATCCAATGCAAACTAATTTATTATATAAAAAACTACAACAGGGCGATTTTATATTAAGTCCATATGCATTATGGGAGGTACAACTTAAAGCAAAAAATGGGATAGCTTTTGAAGATTTGAAAAAGTATATAAACCAGGTGAATATTGCCTTATCTGGCTATGGACAATATGTGGATATGGAAACGGATGCTTGCGACGTTGATTTAAATAAATACTATAAACTAGAGTCGAATTACAAGTCTCTTGTATGATTATGGAACTGTTGAATATATTTCAACAAACATTTTAACTCAAAAGTAATGAGAAAATGTATTTCCAATAAAATATGATTAAAATTCAATAGATTCCCTACAATTTTCATATTGAACATTTGTTTGTAACTATCATAGATTTCGAAATAAAAATTGTTGAAAAAAGTGACTTAAAAATTTAAATAACAATATCTTGCAAAATAATCGAAATTCTGCAAAAATGTTTTCACAACTTATAATTTTTTTCAAATTCTATGCGTTAGGGCCGAAAAATTTTGTTTTTCTTACACGGAGAGACAGCTATTAGCAAAAATTACAAAAACTTGTAGCAAAGTGCAGAAATAAGGGGAATTATTTAATATTGTACAAAAGAAATAGATAAATTTTCTACAATGAAATAGCAAGTTTTAATATTTTGTGTAATAGTGGTAAATATAGGGAAAATTGATAAATAATTTCATATAATTATATAAAGTTCAAATTTTATTTACATAAATTATTGAAATTGGCGCTTATTAATTACAATACATCTCGCAATAATGTATAAACATACAGTTACTAGTGTTGAAAGTGTTATCTATAGTAAAGTCTGATAATTAAGCTTAAGACACATAGCCTTGGCGTAAAGCAGAGATACACATTCTATACTCTGTGTGCCAATATTATATAGAGAAAATACGAAACTTTTTCATTGTCTGTACTACCAAATTATCTCTGCCTTGTATTTAAGGATTAACAAAAATATTTTCTTGTGCATTTAAAAATCTAACTAAAGGGACCAACCTTGTACTTAAAATATTTATTATTCAGGTTAGTAGAAATAAAATTTTTATTCTAACATTATATTATTTTTAAAATATGAAATTTAAAATAGAATAAGAATACTTAACTATATGAATCGACCTGTAACTTGCACGTGAGACTGACATTTTTATGTGGTGCTCCATAATCGTTTTACGCTTACTTACGTTTCCCTATGATTAACCGTCAAATATTCTTAAGCTTAATTAAGACAATTAAAAAAAATTAATTAATTAAAAATTTATCATTTTTTTCAAACATTTGTAATTAAAGTATTACTACGCTTTGCAAAAAAATGTCACGTAATCTTACACTGTAAAAAATTTAGGGAGTTAACGGACTCGGGAGTTGGGAGTGAAATTTTTCGAGTTAAAAATCAACTCCAAAAGAGAGTTAATTTCTAACTCCCTTCATTCAACACCCGCGCGAGTTATTTTTTCCATGGGGAGTTAGCATTTGGGTGTTAAATTTTAACTCTCTTTATTTAACTCCCCTGGCATTAACTCTCCAATAGGTTCGACTTTTATAGACCCCCCGGGGGAGTTAAAATTTAACTCCTTTTTTTTACAGTGTATAGTTAAATTCAAACAATTGGACTGTTGATCCTATTGAAAATAACTAAATAATCTTCTATGCTTTAAAGATGTCTTAATTACTAAATAAATCATGTTCTAAAGTATTTTCTGCATTGAAGTTTTTTTTCCTTTTTTTTCCTTGACTCATTTAGTACATCATTAAAAATACCTGTTTTATATTAATTTTTAAGCTGTTCAAACAGCGTAATTTATATATTACTAAACAATATTGTCATAATATTACTAGTTGTAAGTAATATTTTGCAGTAATGCCTGGAAAATTTATGTTTATCTTTCTACGCATTATTTATTTAATTATAAATTTTTATTCATTTAAAAATTGTATATTGTGACAATATATGAATTAGCTCTTAGGATAATTTTGCGTCAAAATACTACCAACCACAATATGACAACATTGAGCTCCTGGATACTATAAGTGCCGTTGCACGTGGTCCGCAAAGTATAATATCAGTCAGATAGCAGTGAACGGCCTCGAGGCGCTCACTGACACCTGGCTGGTAATTATCCCTTGCAACCGCGCGTAGTAGCACTTATAGTATCCAGGGAGGTCGATTCCGTAATTTGTTAAACAATTTTTATACACGCAAAATACGAAAACAATTTTTCAACGAGGTGGCACCTTTTATAAATTTTATCCGAGTAGGCACCTTTTATAATCATTACTCGAATTGGCACATTTTTTCCACTAACCCGACGAATTATAATCTCCTTCTAGTGTTCGGATGTGGTTACTACTACTTAAAAGCACTTAATATTTTACAATAAAATCTTCTATCCTTCCGGATGTTGTTCAGCAACGTTTCAACAACAATCTAGGTTGTTAACAGTCTATGAAAATTGAAAAATAATAAAATTGAAAAGAATTTAATTTAAACTCCTATTTGTGACAATTAACATCTTCTGCTAATGTTCGGCTGTAGTTACTACTTCTTAAAAGCGCTTGAAAGTTATAATAAAATTTTCTAATCCTTCAGAATATTGTTCAGCAACAATCTAGGTTGTTAACAGTTTATGAAAAATTAAAATTCAATTCTGATCTTCTGTTGAATACCAACATACCCTCCAACTGCGTTTAAAATTTCAGTTAAGAAAATATTATTGTTTAAACTTAGTATTATCTAAGTTATATTATCTTAGTATTATCTACCGCATGTCGTGGACGGTAGGTTTGGTTTTGTTGGCTATAAATGGAATTTACTTGGTGGTGGGAAATTTAGATATTCTATTATGTTAAAAATAAACTTTTTATCTTTACTCGAGTTTTGGAAGACGCCATGTTTATGTTTATATCGGAGGACGCGCTGCTATCTCGCATTGAGGATAGTAGAGCGCTTTAATTTTTGTCAGTGTAGATATATATTTAATTTTTCTTCTTTTAATATATTCTATTTTTAAATATTAAAATTTTTGTAGGTATTTTTAATTTTATAATAATATTTAAATATTAAAATAAATAGTAAAAACAAATAATTATTTGTTTTTACTCTTATAATAAATCATGTATCTTTATAATAATATTAAATGTTACTAATTTCCCATATTTCATCTCAATAAATTATTCAAATTTCGTAAGATTTTCTCAAATTGATATGTTAATTTCTCTTGTCTACCTTTAGATAATTTATTAATTCTGCTTCGTAATACTAAAATTTTTCAAATTCAATTTTGTGACATATTTTTATCTTATTTGACTTATCTTATTTATCTTATATTGAGTTCAAAAGTGACATTTTTAAAAAATGTCATTCCGTATATATGTGTGTTTGTGTAAACATCAGATTTCCATAAATGAAGATATGAAGAGCTTAAGAAGTGCATTTTTTCAATTGTAGGTATCACGTGCTGACACAAAATAGGAGCTCTTTAATATATATTAGTACAGTTTAACTATGGTTAAAATTTTAGTGAAAGTGGAGTGAAAGTGGAGTGATATTACATAATCGACCCCCTGATTTGTCATAAGTTTAAGAAATATATTTACCTGGGAAGAGATATCCCGAGGAGACTTGTAGTGTGAAAAGAGATGTCCGTGTGAAGTCTTGTGCATTTGGAAGAGATGTCTCTGGGAAAACTTTCTAGGTGCAATTTGTTGTATATTCGGTTTTCGTAAATAGTCACTTTTCTAAATATATATAATAGAGATAAGATTGTAATTTTATATTTTTAATAATTATTTTTCAGTAGGATGCCAAGGAAGAAATTATGGGCCATGGGTTTAATTATTTTGTTATTGGTTATTTTTATTGTATCCGCCATCTACATTTTCAGCGATAAGAAAACCTCTATATGGAGCAATAAACACAACAGTGATGCAAAACTTGGCATTTACAAACAGGTAAGAAATATTAATTTAATGTTACTTTTACATATTACAGTTAAAATATAATTCCTGACATTTAAAATGAAAAATTGTTAGTAATTCATAAATTCGAATGCTTCCAAAATATTTTTAATTTTTAGGCAGCAATTTCAGCAATGGGACAAGAATGTTCTGAAATTGGTGTTGGATTATTAAAAAAGGGTGGAAATGCTATAGATGCAGCGATTGGAGCACTACTTTGTGAAGGAGTAGCATCTCTACACAGGTAAGCTTATCATTATTGCATGGTAACTATTAGATGTCTTCCTAGTGGGAAGTATAGAATTCAGATAATAACACTGGTTTACAGTGAAATTGCCAATCGAAAAAAAACATTTCTATTCGATGTACATCAGTTTTCTACGCGCGGAACCCAGTTGCACGTGATTCAAATTTTAGCAACAAAATTTAAATTTTACTTTTTTAATAAAAGCTAATATTTTTAAGTATGGGACTCGGAGGTGGCTTTTTAATGACAATATGGAATTCTACTACGAAAGAAGCACATTACTTAGATGCAAGAGAAACTGCATCGCGACATGCAACTTCTTCTATGTTTGGCGGGAATCCAAATTTATCATATCAAGGTTCGTATAAGAAACATTATTGTATTTTAATTTAATCCGTCTGATAAAATTCTTCAAGTTTTTTGAACGGTAAGTTCAAACTGAATTTCTCCGACAGTTTAAATTTTGAAAATCAGACTCCAGATTCGTAAGCGGCGATCAAGGATTTTTAACAATTTAAGGTGTTTCTCTGGTTCCAGGTGGTTTATCTGTTGCTGTGCCTGGAGAACTTCTAGGATATTGGGAGGCCCATCAAAAATTTGGTAAACTAAATTGGAAAGATCTTTTTCTACCAACAATCAAACTTTGTCAAACAGGATCCCGCATTAATAGTTATTTAAGCGGTTACATTAAGTCTAAGGAACATTTAATTAGAGCCGAACCTACTCTTTCTGAAATACTTATTGACTCTCGTACCAATGAATTATTTAAGGTAACATATTTGAAAGTACAAAAGTTTTTAAAAAAATTTCAAGTTTTTAAATCATTACAATCACTTATTGGAACGTTTTTGTCATGACATTCCTTCATCCACTTAACTAATCATTCTTCTAAAATCAGATATTCAGGATTTTTAAATCTTTTTGCTCTACCGCGTTTCGTAAAGGCAGCATCTTGAATTGATTCCCGCAATATTAATATGCGTAAAAGAGTTGATTTTGGAATATTATATTCCTTTTGTATTTCACTTTGTGACTTTCCACTTTCAAATACAAATTTCTTTCAGAATTCGGGCTAAATTCCGATAGGTATTCTGAGGCGTTTTGATTTGATTGAAACAGAATTGATGAAAAAAAACATTTCACACGGAGATCCGAACGGAATTCTATCCGTAATATCTATGAAAATTTTGTGTAAAAATTATAATTATGCTTTAATCTTTACAGGAGGGGGACAGAATAAAACGTCCACAACTAGCCAAAACATTAGAAATACTGTCTGATACTGGGATTACAGAATTTTATAATGGAACAATTGCGCAAATGTTAACTGATGAAATTCAAGCCTTTAAAGGAATTATTGATTTACAAGACTTTAAAGAATACAGGTAAGATTACATTTCAATTAAAAGTTTTCGTTTTTTAAAATACAAAAGAAGGACAAGTGCGAATTGCACGTGGACTGAATCTTAGAGATCCATACACCAATTAAATTAATTTGATTTGCAAACATAAATTTAAAAAAAATTTCGTCAATCTCATTTCTTACACTATGAGACATACAAATGCTTATGTAGAGTACTCCAGATTTCAGCCCTTTAGCTCTAGTTAATAAAGACAATTTTATTTAAATAATATGTCACCTCTAACTCAGCACAGTTTAATTTTGTTACTTTCCCTTAATTAATTTAATTTTAAAAAGTCGTTTTACATTGTTAACTTTTAGAGTCTCATGGAAGGAGCCAATTAAAGTAAATATTGGAAAAATGACTATTTATTCAGCTCCTCCTCCTGGGTCTGGAGTACTTGTATCATTTATTATAAAAGTTCTCGAAAATTTTCTTTTAAATAATGACAAGGAAATTATTTGGCATCGTGTGATTGAAACGTTTAAATGGGCTTATGCAAAACGTACCGAATTAGGTGACCCCGATTTTGAAAAGGATGTTGGTAAGTTTTACGCACTTTTGTTAAGTTTATTGGCTGCTTTTATTTCAATTCACGCAGAACGAATAGGTTGAAAATTCTAAATTAAGTTTAATGTGATTTTTATCCCACATACACAAAAATGACGCTTTTAGATAGCAGATGACAGGGAGTAGTCATTCATTTGTTCGACCGCATAAAAATGAACGCGATGTTCATACAAGTCGTGCCAAAATGAAGCAGTTGTTACAGACGACCTTTGCTGTAATCCTATTTTCTTAAATAATTAAAAACAATTTTTATATTACAGAAAACTTAGTTAAAAACTTTACCTCTGCTGATTATGCCAAAGATATAAGAAGATTAATTAACGATACATGGACATCTAATGACCCTAACTTTTATGGAGCAGTTACTTCAAATCCTGAAGATCATGGAACATGTCACGTATCAGTATTAGATGCAGACGGCAATGCAGTTTCAGTGACATCTACTATTAATCAAGTGTAAGTAAATTTTAAGAACGAAAGTGTAAAATATATCTCTATTTGCTACGAAAGTATCAAATGAAATATAGGATTATAATAATAAATATAAAATATAAATAAACTTTACCCTTTGGTCAAAATAAGTTACCACTAAACATTAAAGTTTCCTGATATTTTATTGAGTATACTAAGCAAAACTTATTTTTAGATTTGGAGCGATGTTTCGCTCGAGTTCGACTGGAATCATATTCAATGATGAAATGGATGATTTCAGTTCTCCTAATATTACTAATGCTTTCGGTATACCTCCGTCACCTGTTAACTTCATAAAACCTGGAAAACGTCCATTAAGTTCGATGTCACCAACAATAATTGTAAGATTTATTTTATACACTTATAATAATTGAGTAAGTCATTCACTTATTCGACATGTATGAAGATGGAGTTATTTTTTTTCATAGGAAAAATATCACTTGGGACCAGCTGTTATTTTTTCTGAATCTTGAAACAAAAAACCCCCATCACGTCAGGATTTTGAGAAAAGTGGACCGTTATTTTCATACAAGTCGAACAAGTGAATGATTTTTACTCCCTGTCGTCAGATATTTAAAAGCACCATTTTTTGCTTGTGGGATCAAAAAAATATTATTGACAGGTTATTTTCAGATAAAATTAATACGTCTATAAATAAGGTTCTAGGGATATGCCAATTTATGTATATTTTTTTAATAGGTAGACGAAAATAATCAAGTGAGACTAGTCATTGGAGCTGCAGGTGGTACAAAAATTACGACTGCTGTAGCGCTTGCAATTATGTTAAATATTTGGGCAGATTATAATGTTAAAGAAGCTGTGGATGCATACAGAGTTCATCATCAGGTATTATATTATGTCTTTGTAAATTTTACTTAGAAAGTTTAATGTACATTAAACTGATACTATAAAAATGCTTAGTGACCGAAAAAGTTAATTTGTACATTCACCCTAACTTTAAAGAACTTACATCTAACAATTAATATTCATATGTTAATTATTTTTGGTTACAGCTCTTTCCAATGACTATCCAATATGAAAATGGTTTTCCGCAAGCAGTTCTAAATCACTTGCGTGCAATAAAACATAATGCAACTACTTATACGGGTATAGGAAGTGCTATAACAGCAATTGCTAAAAACAAGATGTCAATAACGGCTATTTCAGATTATCGGAGACAAGGAACAACAGCAGGATATTAGAATCTACAACCACTCTTACCTCACACAACATATTAAAAATGTACACTATTAAACTTTTTCACTTCTTTTTTATATTAATTTTTGACCCTCTTTTGATATTAATATTAGAACTTGAGAATATTCAAAATTGAAGTATGAAATGTAATCAATTTAAGATCCAAGTTTAAAAAATTAATAAAACTTATTTTAAGCTTATTTACATTTTCAATAAAAACCCAGAGCATTGTGCACTTTAATTGTTTCGTGTTCAGCGTCTCAAAATACATGGGGATAGGGAACAATTAACAGAATTTTTTGTGGAGTATGATATTCTTAATAGTGTGAAGATAGTGTTTAAAAGTATTTAATATTTAAATTTAAACTTTCTTACAAGTTTTGTTATATTTTTACATCCTTTTTTAATATTTATAAAAAAATAAATGGCGAATCTAATAATAAGAGATCCTTTAATACATTTCGCTCATATTGGACAACTTTTTTATTTATAGGGATTAACTATCTTTCTATCTGTAATAAAAAACATGTTAATTGTCACCACTTATATTGTAATTAACTTTCCAGAACACAAAGAACATGGATGAATATTAGGTTCAAGGTTGCAAACTCCGCTGCAATCTCTAGTTTCAGATAATAAATCTTTAGTTGATAATTTATCTTCATTCTTTAATTGAATATCACTCTCTACTGCATCTGGGAGAATACTTTCTGCAGGATTACAGTTGCAACTATCGTTTTCCAAGTATTCTGTTAAAAAAGAAATATACCATTGGTATTATTTAGGTATTGTTAAATAATGTTTGGGGGTGTAAATCAATTTAATTAGAATATAAAATCTAAAGTATAAAATACGAAATTTAAATGCCAATCATGTCCACCATCAAGGAATGTACTGCTGCACTGGAATGCGTGTATCTCTGCCATTTTTAATTTTTTAAAAAACTATTTCGTATTTACATAGCTGACAATATATATATTAAAAAATAATAAAAATAAAAATGTCTTATCTTAAATATTTTTGACAAAAAAAATTCTTAAAAAACCATACAATTTACATGTTGTCAGGGTGGCGTGACCCTTTAAATAAAATTTGTATTTAGCCGAATTATATTAATTTATGATTAATAAATTATGATAAGGAAACCGGTACCTTTTCGAAACGTTGCATTAAATGTTATAAACATTTTCCTGTCCTAAAAATGCCAAAATTAAACAATATCAAATTTATTACTATATGAGACAAGCATTAAATTGTTCTTTAAATTACATTTTGCATTTTATATTTTATTTAAATTTTTATAACCATTTTAGCTACCTCTAAACATATGAATATGTTCAAATAGAAAATTTATTTATTTTATGAAAAAAAAATTATAAAAACCTAAGCTTTTTGAACGTTTTGACCCATATTACCCCTTAAGGAAATGATAAATATAAAATTCAATTAAATATTCCGTAGATGGGAAACAGTAGCATTATCACAATTAAAATTAACAAAACGTAAAAAAATAAGACAACCTAATTATTAATATGTAGATATTTTACCTTTAGTTTCTGAACATATTTGCATATTTTCTGTTGCTTCAAGGGAATTTTCAATTGCATTTTGTTTTGTCTTTAACAACTTAGAAATTAAAAATTTCAATTTTTGAATTTGCTCCTGTTGGTAATCCCGTTGTTGTGCAATTTGTCTGAAAGTTAATTCCCTTTCTTGAGCCTTTCCCTGTAGTACAGATCGCTGTTTCTGATAAAGGGCGATATATTCACCTAAAAGTATAAAAAATATATTAGCTTACACAACGGGGAAATATACCTTTTTGTAATATTACTGTTTTTTATTAAATCTCCAATTGTAATTGAATGATTCTCAGAAGCTAATAATTTAAAAAAATTGTATTTAGAAAGTACATGAAAAATGCTTTAAATTCATGAAAGAAGAATTAAAATAAAATAAATAAAGTTTTATAAAAGTTATTAGGTTTTGAATATGTCAGTGTTACTTAAAATGTCAAAACTTTAACCCTCACAACTTTCTACAATTTTTTTAAAGAGCTAATATTTTACAAATTTATTACTTTCATATAGGACAACAATTTTTCAAAGTATTGTTTAGTAATTGTGTCAAACCTATTGTCTCTGTTTCTTCTTGTAATTGCAGAACCAAATGTTCTAATTTTTGCTTTTCATCTATAAGTTCGGCATTTTTGTCCATAGTTTCTTTAAATCTGCTTTCCAACTTTGTAATAAATTCTGTCATCATACACTTTTCAGTTTCATGTAAATCGGTTTCAGAAATCACAGAGCTATTCAAGGCACTTTCATTGTGAAAAGTAGTTTTATGGTTTGAAATAGTTTCAATATTTTCCATCTGTTCTGTTGTCAATTTTTTACTTTGTAAATTTAATTCTTCCTTTAATTGATTGTTTTCCTTTTGCAAAATTTCAATTAAACTCTGAAATTTAATTATTATAAATATCATTAAGGGAACGTTCACAAATGATGTCACGTCTTTGGGAGATTTTATAACACTTTTAAATTATTTTTTTATTGAATAGAATATTATTAGGATACCTTAGCATTTTGAAATTCTAGAACTTCTGATTGATTTGATTCAGAAGATATTGGCATTTTAAATCGAAGATCCTCATTCAGGAAATTTCCTTTTTCAACATCAGTCAGAGCAGCGTTTTTCTCATTTAATTGACTTTTTAATTCTTGACATGTTGCTTCATATTCACTTACTTTTATATTTAACTGTTTACACAGATTGCGCTCAGACTGAAGTTGCTCGGTTAGATCCAATTTATTATTGCTCTAACAGATAAATTGTGTTCGTAATATTAGGATAAGTGTTCTTAAATAAGCATTTACTTAATAGATAAAAAAGGACTTACCACTAATTTAAATTTAAATAGTAAAATCTGTTTCAAAATACTTACCAATAAAACGAATGCGTCATGCATTTCATCAATCTGATGTTTTAGTTGTTGATTTTGATGTATTGCTCTAGAAGCACCTAATTGTTCACTTTCTAAAGCTGTAGCCAGTGCTGATGCATCCATGGCGTACTTCTTTATATTATGCAGTTCTTGTAACTCTTTATTTAACATTTCAATTTCACTATCCTAAAAACAATATTCAAGAAGCGGTAAATAGTATTATTATAAATATACAAGTGAATCCAGACGAAAATTTTCCGGGAAGCATATGTCAATTAGCGAAAATATACACTAGCGGTCAAAATTGAGAGACCACTTGCAAAAGTGACATTAAAACCACGACATTCTTTAAATATTGATAACTTAGTTAAATATAAACATACAAATTTTTTGAAGATAGTTTTGGAAACATTACCAAATACGAGATTTTCGATTTCGATTCCTCAGTTTTCTCGAAATGTTTCAATTAGAAAAGATAAAATTTTTTATTTACCTTTTGATTTAATGACAGTTGCAGAGATTCTTGTTCTATAACCAAATTATCAATGTTTTTTGTTAGTAATTCTACTTTATGTTCCAATTGCGGTTTAAAACATTCTACTCGTTCTTTTTCATGATGCAATTGTTCTTCCATTTCCCTTATTTTTCTAACATAATCTTTTTCTCTGATTTCAAATTCTTGAATATTGTTATTGCTTTCGATTAACTAAAAAAACAATTTAGAGGTTAAGATAATTATTTCACTGACAAACTGAAGGCAAGAAACATAACAATGAAAAATATACTAAAAAATACACGCTTAACATTCTAAGAGATGGCAATTCATTTCGTGTTCTGTTATCGTGGTTTTTGATTCAAATGGTTATAGCTTTTCATGTATGCAAGATATCAAGTTCCCCTTGGTACCAAAATGAAGCTTGACTCTTATCCTAACTTTTATCTCATCTCGAGTATTGGCCAGAATACAAATTTGAGAACTATTTTTATGATTTTAGAAATTTGAAATTTTTAGCATGTAAACTTTAGTTGATTCAAATGGCCACAAGTTTTCTCGTGTGCAATATATCAAGTTCCGGTTGGTACCAAAATGAAGCTTGGCCCTTTCTCTAACTTTTATCTTATTACAAGTATGGGCCAGAATAAATATTTGAGAACAAATTTTATGATTTTAGGAATTTGAAATTTTCAGCATGTAAACTTTAGTTGATTTAAATGGTCACAAGTTTTCTCGTGTGCAAGATATCAAGTTCCGGTCGGTACCAAATTGAAGCTTGACTGTTTCTCTAAATTTAATCTCATTACGAGTACTGGCTACGATAAATATTTGAGAACAAATTTTATGATTTTAGGAATTTGAAATTTTCAGCATGTAAACTTTATTTGATTCAAATGGCGATAACTTTTCTTGTGTGCAAGATATCAAGTTCCGGTTGGTAACAAATTGAAGCTTGACTCTTTTCCTAACTTTTATGTCATTACGAGTATTAGCTACGATAAATATTTGAAAACAATTATGATTTTACGAATTTGAAATTTTCAGCCTGTAAACTTTAGTTGATTCAAATGACCACAACTTTTCTTGTTTGCAAGATATCAAGTTCCGGTTGGTACCAGAATGACAGACAAGTGATGATAAAGAAAAAATTCATGTAATTGACTATCATGTAGAGGATATTGATTAACCTGTTCCTTTTTCGGTAGACTTAATATTAATCAAAAGAGGAAAATGGAATAAATTGTTTAATTGTTTCAGTAAATTTCTTCTTGTGACCTTGTCTTGAAAGGGAAGAGTTTGCTTATTAAAAATATTTAAAAAATTCAAATTCTACAAGTAAACAATTTATTGTCTCACTTATTGCAAAAAATTAACATTTAGAACTACCTATGATTTGTGTACTAACCTGTGATTTGACAAATTTTAGACGCTCCTCTGCCTGCTCTAAGTAACTTTTATATTGTTTATTAGCTTCATCCTTTTCATTATTGAGTGCAGTCAATGTAACTTTTAATTGTGCCAATTGTTGTTCATATACTGCAACTGTTTGGCGATCATTTTCTAAACTTTGAACTTGATCCGAAGTAGTTATTAACTGTCAGAAAGTTTTAAATAGTTAAGGGCTTCAGAAATATAAAAGTTCTAATTACAATATTACTTCTATAATTGAGAAAAAAGAATTTTACCTGGCGAATTTTTATTTCATTTAAAGCAAGCATTGCATTTTTTTCCTGCAATTCCTGATTAATAGTTGATAAATTCGTATTGCTTAAATTTAATTTCTGCTTTAATTCAGAACATTCTAACTCTAAACTTTCCTTATCTTTCCTAAAATATTAAAATATATTAGCAAATCTCAAAATTTAATACTTACATAAAAATAATATTTATCTTATACCTTAAATTTAAACATTCATCCATTAACTTTTCATAACTTTGTTGCATGAGATTATAAGCTTTATTTCTTTCTTCATTATTATTCTTGTAGGAAGTAGATTCCTTTTCGTGAACAGTCAGTTCAAGCTGACTAGACTTTAACTTTTTACTAAGATCTTCAATTATATCTGAAATAATATTATGATTTAAAATTAGAATGTAATATATGTTTGTAATTCCCACAGAAGATTATTATTCGAAGCTGTTAGAAGCATATATTAAGACTGGTCACGAAGGCAGGGATAATGACAAATGTGTGAAGTATTACCCTTTTTTTCCTTAATTGTTTCGTAGCACTTATCGACTGTTGCCTTCAATTCAGCTTTCTCAGCTACCAAAAGTCCAGTAGTGTGTGTATGAAGTTCAATTTGATGCTTTAAGGGATTAACTTCTTGCATAATTCTGCTTGCATAATTTGCTTCATTCGCAGCTATAATTGCTTCCATTTCCGAGATTCTGCTACTCTAATAAATATTGTGTTATAATTACATTTTTAGCTACAATTTTTATTGTACAACGTCCCGAAAAGCGCAAAAAGATAAGACCCGCAGCAATGTTTGCTTCTTGGATACCTTTCTTAGCAGCGCGTCAAATATATCTCTAAAATTCTTATAGTTTAATAATACTTACATATCGACTAACTTGCCCATGAAGTTCACTAATAAGATTAGCTTGTTCCTGAAGACAATTAGTTAGGAACTGATTTTTATCTGTTAAGTTGTTCACTTCAGATGTTTTACTCAAGTCTTGGTCATTAATTAATACCTGAGCAACTGAAGAAGCCATTTGTAATAGATTTTCTTTTTGCAGAACCGAAGAATCAGATAAGTTGGAGCTGAAATTTCTATCCTCAAAATCAGATTGTTTGGAAGTAGCATTGGAACTGTTAATATCTTCTGATTCAATAAATTCACAATTATTGCTTTGAGTTACTGGTGCACTTTCTTTATTCACTGCACATTGAAACGACTGTAAGTCATTTATAATGTTTTCGTCACGAATTACATTTATTGTAGAAGAATTGCTGTTGCTCTGTTCGGTTGTATTTGAACATTTTTCAATGTAATTTGTATTTACAGAAGTAAATTCACTTGAGTTTTTATTTAACTCATCTTTCTCAGGCGAAAAATTACTATTTGCATTGTTCTCCATTTCCAAATTAATAGTATTATACTAAAAATAAGCTTTGCATTAATAAACAAAAATGAAATGAATGAAACGTAAAGAATTCTTTTAGATAAAAATAATCATCGTAATTGTGTTAAAATATATGTATTTAATATTAATAAAATAGATACAATGTTTGTAAGGGAATAGGGAGGCTCCTTATACCACTTCATGGCTATTATAATACTTACAATTTTTCGATAGAAGTCAAAAAAAGCTCACAAGTTTTTAGTATATCGAAAATTTATGAGGACTAAGCCCCTTCTACATATTTTCATATAGAAGAATATTTGTTTAAAGTATTTTTAAAAATTTTATAATTTGAAGGATTACAATGCTTCTATGAGGAGACAAAATTATTACAAATACTTTCTTACCTTCAAAGGATTATTTTCTCTTGGTCGATTAGTTATCCTTGCATGTTCATTGTTTGTGTTTTCTGTATCTTTATGTTTACCTCCAATATCTTTCTTAAAAGTTTGATACTGCTTTAACTGCAAATACAAAAGAAAATTACACTACCAGTTAAAATTGAGAGAGACCACCCATTTTCAGGTGAATGAAAAACATTTTAAAATATAAAATTTATTGAAACTAATTCAGGTGTAAATATTATATTTTACTTTCATAACTGCTCTCTGCATTTTATACAGGGTTGAGACTGTCAATAAATTGCCTGCATTACAGTTACATTGTATACACATTGTAAACTATATCGCGATTCTTGCCATTTTATATTTGCACCTATTACATATTTGCACCTATTACCGTCACAAGCACTTTTCCCATATGCCGTAGCATGTAAATGCCATTCAGCTACGATGCCAAAGTCTTTTTCATGGGTTAAAAAATTGGAAAAGTTACTTTTATTTTTGAAATGTTGACCAGCATCATCTGTAATGTAATATATCTTCTTTAAATTGAAATTTAACTCCTTTAAATAATTTATTATAATTTTTTTTTATATTCGTATACAGTGATTGTATGACTCAAATTATCTGATAACACTGCCATACTTTTGTGCTATAATTTATTATTTTTAACAGAATAGATAACAATAGTAAATATTGTGGAGTGGTCGTTATTCTAGTGAAAAAAGACTGAACCGAATTTTTCATCATGGAAGCAAAATTTTCGATAAAATCAAAAGATACAATGAATTCATCAGGGTCCAAATTTTTCCTTAATTTAATTTAAAACTTCAACTCCAGCTAAATGATAATCATTAGAACATTGTGAAGGCAAGTTGTTCAACAAAGAAATTAAAATCGAGATTCGATAAAATAACGGAAAATTATGCTTAAAAAATTTTCGTCATCTGGAACTTCCTATTTCTTCCCGAAAACATGTAACACACGCAAAGTAATAAAGAGAAAATAAATTACTATAAATTGTCATAAAAATTCCTCAAAACAATTTAAATTTCTTATTTTTGGAAAAATAATGCAGGCAATTCATTGACAGTATTCCCTGTATAAAATGCAGAGAGCAGATTATGAAAGTAATGTATATTTAATATTTATACCTCAATATATGTGTCGTCGATTCTCAAAACGACACATAAAATTTCTACGTTGCTATTAGTTGGCCCCTAAGAGTAAAAAAATTAAATATACTAAAAAATTTTTTTTAATTATTTATAATTAAAATTATAAATAATTATTATTTATTATTATTTCGACCAGAGTATATTTCGCCACTCGTCTGGCGAAACAAGCAACAGTAATTAAATCATCGACAGTAAGTAACTGTCGAAATAAGATACATGAGTAAAATTTATGAATTTTAATAATTTCTAAAAAATTATTCAATTATAACCCGACCTGAATTCAATTATTTTCTAAACTTTTTAACTAAACTTTATCTCTAAATCAATTATTTTCAATAATTTTCCGAAAGTTCTTCTAGAATTCAATTATCTTAATACAAAAAATCAATTTTTTTATAATAATCGTAGCTCTTGATGGTTTTTTCTTTAGTTATTAAAGTTTATAATAGTATTTTCAAAAAATGATAAAGAAATTCTTAAAATTAATTTTTTAGAAATATTTTAATGTAATTTTTCGAAAATAATTGAATTTAAAAAATATTTTAATTTAAAAAAACTAATTAATTTTTTTATGAATTTTATTTAAAAATTCTGAACATGATTGATTTCACCAAAATGTTAAAAATAATTCTATAAAATGTTATCATTTTTTTGTATGTTTTTGAATTTTCAGAAATATATAATTGAAAATACTGAAAATATTATATAAATTTAAAAAAATTCTATGCTAATATTCATTAATTTTCATTTCGAAATTTAATTTCAAATAGTTTTCATTAATATTTTTGATAATTCAATTATTTTCAAAATTTCCATTTAAAATTCTTCAAAAGTTGATTTTTAAAAATTGTAACAAAATATTTGAAATAAATTATTTTCAATTAAATTTTACATATAATGTCAACTATTCAAAAAGATTTTTATTAATATATATATTTGAAAAATTTAATTATTTTAAAAAATGATTTAAAAATACTTTTTGAAAGGTTTATTTTTAGTTATTTTTCGCATTATAAAAATCAAAATAAGTTGCAATTTTCTACTGAAAATTGTTGTATTTTCTTGCAATGTTTGGTTACACATTACGTATTAATTTTTACATACGGGCGAAATTTTTTACATACGGCCTAAAATTAAACACATGCTTGCTATTTGAAACAATCTTCGATACATGTTAAATGTAACTATTATGGATATATTAAATTAGAAAGAAATTTTTTTTATAAATTAAGAGTTAACACTAAAAAACCTCAGTGTTAATTTACTACGATTCTCAACTTTTTGTAAAAAGCACTTTTATAGTAAGTAATAAATAAGCCCTTTTTGTTACTCATTACTATCTAGCTATAATATATACAATTGAAATACTTATTAAAATAATATGTGTCAACAATATTGTACCTTTTTGCGAGCAGCACATAACTTTTCTTTATCCATATTAGTAATTAAAATCTTAAAGTAATTAAAGCAATTATTATTACATAAAATTCACTCTCCAATTCCCAAATTCTAAGTATGTTTAATAATAATACATGAATCTTTTAATGTAATTATTGTGACAAGTTTGACATTTTTTAATATACAGGTTATGTGTTGTGATGACAAATCTGACAAATCATAGACATTTAAAAATATACTGCGCTAGTCACATTTCCCATATGGGAAGCAGGGATCGGTGTGGTATAAAGGTACGGTCACACGACTTTTGGAGAGAGCATTCTTGTTTTTCTCTCTCCTATTGCCAAAGGCATAAGTTTGTCTCACTCTACATTTTCTTACTTTTTCCAAAAACGGAATCATTCTTTTCTTTCTCTCTCCTATGACAGAAGCATAAGTTTTTCTCATTCTAAATTTTCCGTTTTTGGAAAAAGTAAGAAAATGTAGAGTGAGACAAACTTACGCCTCTGGCAATAGAAGAGAGAAAGAAAAGAATGATTTTTCCAAAAGTGGTGTGACCGTACCCTAAAGGTGCAGTCCTATGCACTTAGGTTGAGTCCACAATTGCACTCTGAACGGAACGTATCGAGACAAAATAATGCTAAGTATATTGTTTCGTTACTTTTACGTTCCGTTCAAGATTCTATTGTGGACACAACTTAAAGTCACGGTCTCAGGTTGAGTCCACAATTGCACCTTGAACGGAACGTAAACGTAACGTAACAATGCTAAGTATATTGTTTGTTTTGTTACTTTTACTTTCCGTTCAAGGTACTATCGTGGACACAACTTTAGAACCTATTGGACAAAGGCCTTTAAGTGTGGAATGAGCATAGCATCAGCACGGACGTTCACGTTCGCTTACCATCCAATGTGCAGTCACCTTAAAAGTACGCGTTGCTAATGCGTTAATTTTAGCATATGTTGCTATTGTAGAAAGTTAATTCAAACTAAATTTTTATAAATTTATGTCTAGAATATGAATTTGCTTTGAATCAAACTCTAAACAAATGTATTTGTCAGCTATTGTAGAAACACCTTTGCAGCGAAGTATGAACGTGGCTTCAATATCTTCCCGTAAATTGCAGGTACAAATGCACCCTTACAAGTGAGAACCCTCCCCACTCTCTATGATTTCAGACTTTTCTCTAAGCCAATGAGAATTTTCTACTAGAATACTTTCCATTGAATCGAAAGCTCCCATTGGCTAAGCTCTTTCACTTATCAGTTTGCACACCGACATTGGACTACAGCTTGAGTTATTTTGCGTTGGCCTTTTCCCCTCCTGCACAAAATTCTTGTTTGACTGGTTAATGGTGGAAATTGTTTAAGGGATGTTTGTGTGTTGAGTTTTGTTTAGAAACTATGTTTTTAATGGTGTTTAAATTAATAGTTAAAATAAAAAACTAAAAACACTTGAATCTGTATATTACATTCTTTTTCATAATTGTACTTAAAAAGTTATTTGAATCAGTCAAATATTAAAACAGTAAATAAACAAGAGAAGTGAGACAACTTTTAATGCTTATGTGATTTAATTACAGCCGTACACTGGTAAAATACAAAGTGTATTAAATTTGGAAACTTAAAAGAAACTGGTAGAGAAAAATTTGAAAAAAAAGTTTGAAAGAAAATTGTTTGAAGCACTGCAATATTAAAGAGAGAAATTGATGAGTTAATGGTAGTATGCGTTCCATTGTTAGACGCTTAGAGTTTTAAACCATCAATCGTGTATTGAAAGTGAAGACTTGAAATTAAAGAGTTTTGGTTGATGGATGAATCGAGCAGAATGCTTCAACACGGAGGATCAAGCGTTGGTCTAATGGGTGGAAACCAAGGGCAAGGTGGGCAAAATACTGGGGCATACGGGAACATGGGGCCTACCGATGGATCGGCTTCTCAAGGAGGAGATCAAGCCGTCGAGGCCAGAAAACAAGATATTGGTGAAATTCTTCAATCTATTATGAATATAACAGATCAAAGCTTGGATGAGGCACAAGCAAGGTATATCAATTAGAAATTATTACCAAAGTTTTTAAGTTTTTTTTTACTTGTCATGTATTAATAAAAACAAACAACTTGTATAATCCGATCATTTTTAAATTACTCTTCAATTTTTTCTAGGAAGAAATTCATTTTTCTAATATATTTTTCAGTCCTTGCTATAAATAAAATAATTATATATAGTCAGATGTAAACAATATCTAAATTTCATCAAAAAGTTATAAATTATTGTTATTGTTTCACATCCCGACAACAATTTTATGAAGTAAATATGAATGTGAGCTTGAATCCCATTAAAACATTTATTCACATTTACAGGATTGACATAGGTCAGGGAATTCAGGAAAAAGTCAGGGAATAGAAAATTTGTCAGGGAAAAATCAAAATTAAAAATTTTATCAAAGTACTAGAAAAATATTAAATTTCTAAAATTTATATAAGAAAATTCTGAATTTTGTCGTCCAACAACCTTTAAAAATATTGAAAAATTTAATATAATTTTAAATTCTTTCTATTTTTATAACAATAATTGAACTTTACAGATTTTAAATTATTACTTATGAATTGAATGAATTTAATTATAAATTTTTAAAAACTTAAATTTTTGCGATAATGTTTATAAAGTAAATTATTCTGAAATTAGTTACCTACTTAGATGAACTTCAAAAGGTTTTAATTTTAAATTTGATAAAATTTCAATTTTGAATATAGTCATTAGAAATTTTAAAGAAATTAAATTTTTGCAGAAAATTTTCATAATTTAAATTATTCTGAAATAAGTTGAATTTTTTAAAATACGTATTTAATTAATTATTAAAAATAATTAATTTACAGGAGAATTTTAGTTAAAACTATTAAAAAAATTGAATTTTTGAGAATTTACAAATATGATTGCAGAAATTCAATTATTTTCAAAAGTTATAAAATTCTTCGCAGAAATTCAATTATATCCAAAAATTTAAAGAAATTCTCGTAAAAATTTCAATTCTCTTTACAAATTATAAAATTCTCCGAAACTCAATTATTTTCAAAATTTTTAGTAAAATTCTACTCAAACATTTACATAATTTTTTTTAAAACCTGTACTATTTTTAAAAATCTTTCATATTTTGTTTCAGAAAACACACATTGAACTGTCACAGAATGAAGCCTGCTTTGTTTTCCGTTCTTTGCGAAATAAAGGAGAAAACTGGTAAGTTAATTTTTTCGTATTTTTTACAGAAATGCCATTAAAAAAAAATTTTCCTCAAGGAAAAGATTTTTTGTCTGTCAATAATAGCTCGTTTAGCGTAGGTGAATAGGTTGTTGAATAGTAATATGCGTGCATTCATCGATCCTAGGTTCGAATCCTTTTCCCACCAAATTTATTTTCAAAGTTTTCTGTGAAATGTTAAGATTTCTAAATAATTCTAAGCTACAATAAAATTATAGAATAAATAGAAATTGTCTACAGTAAATTCTATAAATTAAAAAAAAATTATGGTCAGATTTATATAGGATCCTGCATATGAAACTATATAAATTCTTGTAGGTTATCCTTATAGAAATCTAAGTAAGATCCTATATAGAAAACTACAGGTCAGTCTATTACATTCCCATAGAATAAATTTTACCCCAAAACGGTTTAACGAAAAAAAATTGCGGTCCTGAGTTAAAAAAATTTTAAAGTACTAACTTGACTGTACCTGAATTTGGTAATTCGAACTGCTATCGAAACCTAAAATTGTTTATGAAATAGGCAAAAAATTAGTTTTTTTGCAAACTGCGGCCTTCGCTGACATTTTAGAGTAAGAGAGTACATATTCTTGATATAAAAAATATGCAATTCGATCAAGAAATTAATCAACATGTAAAAAATGTTGAATATATTAAGTCGAGATCATTTAATATATCAAATCAAGAAAATATGTTCTCTAATCGAAAAAATATTTTCTTGATTTGAAAAAATTTCAATGAAAAAAATATTTTCTCAATACAAGTAAATATTTACTTGAATTATCCCCCCTCCCCTTACCCTCATCTCATCACTTCTAATTCTTAGGTAAAACATTTTTATTATTTAATTAATTAACATTTATATTTTTTATTATTTATTTAAATAATTACATAATTATTATTTTACATATATATTTAATTAAAACTTAATTTGAATACAACAAATATACCTTGAAAGAAAATTTTCCACGGTCGGAGGAATTGAATCTTGGTTCAATTAAATTTTTTTCAGTGTAGATAAAATTTTAAAATCTAGCATATATTTTTAGAGAGACTTATGACATTACATACTAACTATTAGATATAAAACAATTAAAAAATATGAATCTGAAACTGGCACCTAGTTTTTGTAGCACTCCTTTAATTTTGAAAAGGCTTCGTCCATAAATTACGTCACACGTTTTTAGCCCATTTTTGACCCCCTCCCCCCCCTTTGTCACACTACGTAACATCTGAAGGAACCCCTTCCCTCTAAATTACGTCACAATTCGTAAAACCCCCTTTAATAAATTTTTCCAAAATGAATCACTGTCAATATCTAATTTTACCGAGGGGGTATTTACTTGTGTATTAGCGTGTACGCTCTTCACGTAATAGTCATGTAATAGTCACGTAATAGAGTGTAATAGAGCATTATTACGTCAGTGTAATACCACATAATATAGAGGTAATAATCAATAATACCCTGTAATACTGGATAATATGCGTAATAGCAGAAAAATTTAGTGTATTAGAGTGTACACCATTTTAATCAGTAATTATCCCCTCGAATTTTTTTTTATAAATAAAGTTACTTATATAATTAGTACATTTTTTAATATTTTAAAAACAAGAAATATATTTGATATTTTTATTTATTACAATTTTCTCATTATAATAAATAGAGTATAAAGTGTGACATAACAAAATAAAAGGTCCTCACCCCCCCTTTGTCACAATTAGTCACATTTTCATAGACCCCCTCCCCCCTAAAAAGTGTGATGTAATTTATGGACGAAGCCAAATTACATTTAAAAATTAAGTATTCTTTGTGTTTAAAATTAACATAATTTCGATATGAAAATAATGTTTGAGGCTTTCTAATGTTAAAATATTTTTATTTTTAAGAATAAAAAAGTAAGGGTGCGTGTAGCGCAAAAGTGACTAGTAAATAAACTAAAAAGGTTTCATTAAAAAATTTCAAACTGAGGAAAGACTTGTAAATAAATTAAAAATGTTTCATTAAGAAATTTCATACTGAAGAAATTGAAAACAATATCGTTTGCTCTCAAACTTGGCTTACTAGTGTTTTTTGAAACTCTAAAAATTTATTACTAATTTATAATTACGTATTAAAGTAAACTTGTAAATGAATATTTTATAATAATTTCGTGTAATCTGAAAGAAATCAGAGCATTTTTTTCATAAAAATAAAGTTTTTAATAGAATGCAAAGCAGTTAAGAGAGAAGACTTGCATCTCTTTAGCCGAGTGGAATAGGGTAAAGGAGGTAAAGCTTTTCAATGTCAAAAAGTCTTGTTCACCTTGACTGCAGGAATTCATTCCGCAGGATCAGGGCCGCAGGAACAGGTCTTGGAAACTATTGAAAATGCTGATATAAAAAATGTATTTTATATGAAGCCATCCCTGTTTTAGATGCACAGCAATTAAGATATTTTCAGAAAGAGAAGTTACTTCATTTTCAAAATATCTTAAAAATTTTTGATATATTTCATACTCTCGCCTTCACTAAATTTTGTTAAAAAGATTTTCATTTTTGCTAAGTATGAAATAGAACAACAACTAAATGACAAATATAACGTCGCTAAAGCTAAAAAAGACTTTTAATATATAATTATTTATAATTATTAAGTTGTTATATAATTTTAAAAACTTCTTAAATCTAAAATTTTTTAAAACTACACCAGTAAATTATGTCAGTTTTAATTATTTTTTTTATTCAATTGCATCTTAATTACTTAGAAGTTGAAATAAAACATTGTCATATTGACATAAAAAAATATTTCCATAAAAAAAAATTTCAAACAAATAAATTAAAAAATGAATTTTAATGAAATTATCACTTGGTAAATATTATATAATTTAAATTAAAAAGAAATTATCAATCTTCCAAGTCAAATATTAATTTAACTTGGAAGTTTACTAATTTCCTTTTAATTTAAATTAAAAAATAAATTTTAAATAAACAATTTTTTGGAAAGTGTAATTTTTTTCTTTTAGTAACAATGTTTCGGTTCTCACTTATTTCACGGGTATTTTACAGAAAAAATTTATGGAGACTCAATATTCAGTATCTCTGTTTTTTATGAACCACTTTAGTATCCAATAATTAAATTATTATTAATAATGTATTTTGATTTATTACTTGAATTTAGCATAAATGTAACGGGAATTTTTTTTTAGTTCTGTCACTGAGAAATACTCAAGAGGAAGAACCACCTGATCCTCAGTTAATGAGGCTAGACAACATGTTAATAGCAGAGGGTGTAGCAGGTCCTGAGAAAGGTGGTGGAGCTGGTGCTGCAGCTTCAGCATCAGCGGCAGCGGCTGCAGGTCCGCCTGGCCAGCCCGATAACGCTATCGAGCATTCGGATTATCGTGCTAAACTTGCTCAAATCAGACAAATATATCATCAGGAATTGGAAAAATATGAACAGGTATATTCCATTAAAATCATTAGTCCGCCATTTTGAATTTTTTAAATTTGATATTAAAATCTAAAGAAATTTGTTTGCACATTTCAGGCACTTTCTTTAAAATTGTAGCCGCAGTTAAAGAGTTAAACTCAGTAAAATCGTTCTAATTTTGAAAAATAAAAAACTCTTGTTTATTAAAAAATTGTTTACTAATGTTTCAGGCGTGTAATGAATTCACAACCCATGTGATGAACTTATTGAGAGAACAAAGTCGCACAAGGCCTATTACACCGAAAGAAATCGAGAGAATGGTTCAAATTATTCATAAAAAGTTTTCCAGCATTCAAATGCAATTGAAACAATCTACATGTGAAGCAGTTATGATTTTGAGAAGTCGATTTCTTGATGCTAGGTTCGAATCTTTAATTATTTAATTTTATTTAATTCTTGATGTTAAAATTAATTTTAAAATTAAAAATAACACCGGCACACAAAAAAATAAATTGTCTATGAAAAGAAATCCAAAACTTACTGTATGACAGTCTTTCTGGAAATTAATTTCTTTTGTTTGTCGGTGTAATTTTATAATCAATTAAGATTATATAATTTAATTTAATGTTATTTTCTCTATTTTAGACGTAAGAGACGTAACTTCAGTAAGCAAGCGTCAGAAATTTTGAATGAATACTTTTATTCACACCTAAGCAACCCTTACCCCAGTGAAGAGGCAAAAGAGGAACTTGCACGAAAATGTGGAATCACTGTTAGCCAGGTAAATTAATTCGCATTAATTCTTTTTCGTTTACTGGATTGCTGATAAATATTTAACAAAACAGAATAGGATTTGAAAAACTCCTTAAATTATTATAATTAAGTAAATTAAAATATTTCAGATAAACTTGAAATAATTTGTTTTACTCTATTATTTTAGGTTTCCAACTGGTTTGGGAATAAGCGAATTCGTTATAAGAAAAATATTGGTAAAGCTCAAGAAGAAGCGAATCTATACGCAGCTAAGAAAGCAGCAGGTTAGTGCATATGAAACCTACTTTTCTTCAAAATGAGCTACTTAAGATAATTTTAATGAAAAATAGTAAAATACCCATGTGCGCGCTTTATCCCTCATTCTGATTATAATTTATACAATATGCCAATTATATCTTCTCCTACTATTAACTCCTACAAGGAACAATTTGTATACGGGAAAAAATCTTTACCTGGAACAACTAAAAATTTTACTGCATTAGCGAAATTTCTATAAAATAAAACTTGTCTTTTTATTTGCTTATTTTATTTACTTTTATTTTACAATTAATTTAAAGTTTATTTTATTACTGTATAATTTAAATATATATTTATTCAATTTTATAAATACCTTTTTATCCCATTTCGTTCGAGAAGTCCGTTTTTTTTCTTGATATTTTATTTGTACTTACAGGCCTCGGATATTATGACTTTTTTCCACTATTTTCCAAAAATGCGACTTTATTCGACTTATTTTCAAAAATTGTGACTTTTTCGACTATTCTTCCAAATATTGCAACAAAATACCACGTTTTTAGTATAAAATGCAACTTATTTCGATTTTTATATAGTGTGAAAAATAAATATAGACAAATCTTTCAAAAATTATTTTTCAATAACTGTTCTAATTAAATTTTCGAAATTGCCAATTAAAAAGAGTTTCAATAATTGAAATATTTTGAAATTTAATTGAAAATAATTAATCTTTTCAAGTATTTTATTAACATTTTTGCTGAAATTGAATTTGGAGAATTTTAATTGTAAATTTTGAAAATAATTAAATTCTCAAAAATTTTAATAAAAAATCTTCAAGTGTAAATTTAAAAATGATAATAATTCATTAAAATTAGCTTCTAAAAACATTATATTCAAATATTTTTGAAAAAAGTAATTCTTAGAATTTTTACAACTAATTTTTTAATTTTTTAAAATTCAATTATTTTCAATATTTTGAAATATAAATTTCTTTTCGAATAATTACCTTACAATATTTTTAAAAAACTAATTCATGAAATTATTTTATAATAATTTTTTAAGATTCAATTGTTTGGAAATTTTTAAATTGTACATAATTAAAAAACTATTAACATTCAAAATTTATTTTAAAATATTAAAAAAAAATTAATTTTAAGAATTTCTTTACTATAATTTTTTGAAAATTAATTAAAGAAATTTAATTAAAATTGTATCAAAAATAATTGAATTACTCCGAAGAATTTAAATACCTAGTAGGCGAATAATTGAATTCTAATAAGGAATATTTATAAAATTCTTGAAAATAATTGGATTTTGAAAGAATTACAGTTGCAATTTTTAGAAATTGTTAAATTTCAGAAGGTTTTAAATAAAAAATTTTTAAATTTTTAAACAAGAAGTATTTAAATATTTATAGAACGAAATTATTGAATTTTTGAATAATTGAATTCAGAAATCATTGAATGGTCAGAAAAATATAAAATAAAATTTTTCTGACAACACTCAATAAAATAAACGACTTTTTCGACTTTTTTTGTATTTTAAATCGACTAAAGTGACTTTTTTTGATCCTTAAAGTCGATCCGAGGCCTGTACTTACCATTTTCAAAGAAGGTCTAAAAAAAGTTTAAACTTAGTGTTTCTTATGTATTTTTTCGTCCTCTTTTAGAATCTGAAAGAAAATTTAACTTTTGACTTAAGGATAAAAAGTTATGATTGTTTAAAAAAAGACACCAAATTTTATGGTTTTTTTCATTTAAACTATATTTTTGATTGGAAATCGCTTCAGGAAAAATTTAGAATGACAAAATATCGCGTCCAAAATGTATGACCTTTCATATAGGCATTATTAGAAATTTTAATTTTTTCGAAATTTAAAATGGCGGTTCAAAAATCGCGGCCAAAAAATCTAAATGACTAAAATGAGTCTAAAACTGACATCTTTGATAAAATTTTCTCACTGTGACTAATTTAACAATATTTTAAACAAATTTTTATAAACAAATTGTTTTTCTGAAAGACAAATATTAAAAAAAAATTTTTTGTTTACATATCGCTCTTACTTTTATAGTTGCAATGAATTTTAAGGATAAAAATTGTTTAACATTATTTTTTATAAATGTTATAAACAATAATTTTATAAACAAATTAAAAATTGACAATAAATATAAAAAAAAATGAAAATTTGTTTAAATTTAAATCGTTATATTGGATCTGCCATTTTGAATTTTTAAAAACCGATCACAGATTTGAAACTAGCGCTTCCTGAAATTCCTCTACCCTTGATTTTAGAATAATCCTTTGAATTATTCGTATATTAATCAAACTCACCCCTAAAAATTGTTAAGAGTGGTTACTACCCCTGAAAATGATTTTGGGCTGATATTAAAAAACAGGTATAAAATATTTTCCAATGAACTACATGGATGCAAAAATTCAAAAAAAAAATCGACGTTTTATATAAACAAAGATGTATGAAGAGCAATTAAAATGGAAGAGGTCATTTATTCATAATTGTAGAGAAAATGTCAATTTTTTATAATATTAAAAAAAAAGTTAAGAAAAATTAACTTTTCAATAATTTCTTTAAACAATAATTTTTTATTGTTAAAAAAGCATGCTAGGAACATCATGGAATTTCTTTAAAAAATTATATTCTCAAAATTTGAACCTTCCTAAAAAAGTGGTAAAATTTTTGAAGAGGTGCTTTTTGATATTTTTGAGAAAAAAATTTTTGAAGTATGCGCTACGAGTTTTTGTGTGTTGCGCTAACTAAGCAGCGTCTATAACAGTGTATTTTAAAAAACGATATGACCTTTACTTTTTGCCCCTAATACATTTATTAATTATATACGTATATATTATTGTTATAAACAGTTCAACAATATATTTTTAACTTTTTTATAAACATTATTTTCTGTTTTTAATGTAAAAAATCTTTTCCTTAAATTTTTTTTAATTAATAGTAGAAAATAAATTTAACACAATAAATTTTGTTCCATTGAAGACCATCAAAATAAAAAATTATAAATATCTGAACGATTTAAAGCTTGTTAAACAATCACCGGTACAAGAAGTTACAAGAAGTTTTCATTCCTTTGTTCCAATTTCAAATAAAGAAATAAAATGTAAACTTGTTTCTGATTTCGACGACACCCATTCCCAAATATTAAAAATCATGTAAAAATTCAAAATATTGTATAATTTTTATATTAATTTAAATTCTTTTGTTATTGTATTCACAGTTATATAATTTATCTGTAATATATATATATGTAAAATTTAAAAAAAAATTAAAACATTTCGCTAATAATTATTTTTTTCAAACATTGTTTCTAATGCATAAGTGTTTTGCAATAATTAAACACAAATTTTTTAAACACGCCAGCATTTACAATGAAATATATGTTGCCAGTCCTAAGCCTGGGTAAAGTGTGAAGGAAAAGATTTTTTACATTAAAAAAGAAAAGTAATGTTTATAAAAAAGATAAAAATATATTGTTAAACTGTTTATAATAAAAAAATATATACGTATGTAATTAATAAATGTATTAGAGGCGAGCAGTAAAGGTCATTTCTTTTAAAATACACTGTTATAGGCGCTGCCTAGTTAGCGCAACACACAAAAACTCGTAGCGCAAACTTCGAAAATTTTTTTCTCAAAAATATCAGAAAGCACCTTTTTAAAAATTTTACTACTTATTAAGGAAGGTTCAAATTTTAAGAAAATAATTTTTTTAGGAAAAATCAATGATGTTCCTAGCATGTTTTTTTAACAATAAAAAATTATTATTTAAACATATTATTGAAAAAATTATTTTAACTTTCTGCTTTTCCTATGGAACTGCCCAATAAAAAATTCCGTTCTTGTTAAAAGTCTACAGGTTACAAAAACAATTAAAATAGAGAAAAAACAAATTTCTAAGATGGTTGATTAAATCTCTCAATTTTGATAATATGAGAAGTCAATTTGGTTTTATATGTATATATCCTCGAATATCTATGCACCCCAGTTGTTTCTATAGCAGATTTTTCAGGAGCATCGCCATACAGCATGGGTGGCGCTAGCCAAGGAACACCAACGCCAATGATGTCACCAGCTCCTCCTGGGGGTCCTCAGGACATGGCAGGCTATGGAATGGGAATAAATGGTAGCGACTATGGTTCACAACCTTATAACGATGGTTCCATGGGCTATGATCCCATACACCAGGTAAAGCGAAACAAATATCAAAGCGAATATTATGATAGTAGTTGATTGCAATTTTTTTCAAAATAAGTTTGAGCTTGCTGAATAGAAAGTAGTGAAGCGATTTTTTGTTAATTTTTTAAAAACAATTTACTGATTTCAAATTATGTAATGCTTCTTATATTGAGAATTTTTAACTTACATTTTTAAGAACTGCTTATTTCTTGGTTTTTAATTACACATTAAACAGCATTGAAAAATGAGACATAGTACCTACATAAAGGTAATTTTTAAAATACAGATTTTGTGAGCATTAATTAAGGCGCTTGTACAGCTCTACTTTTCTATATTCGGAAACATTTATGAGTATCACTAATTTTTATTGGCTTTCCCCATAGAGAACTTCCAACTTTTCGGATATTTAAAAGAGCATAACGAATCAAAATTAGTGAATTCTCTCGATGTTTCTAAATATACTCAGAATCGGGGAGGTGTATAAGCGCCTTTAATATGCATTCTAGATACTCCACACTATTATAATAACACAAACTTACTACGTATAAGTTTATTTTAGCAATAATTCCATTTTTATTTTTGCTCTTTTATATAGTTCTATCAATATTCGATTTAAATTATATTAATAAAAAGTTATATGAATATATAATAAAAAGTGTCAACTTTTCTTTCCAATTATAAAAATAAGGTTATACTACTTTTACTTTTATTGGAACTTCCTGCACCAAAATTGATCAAAATTTCACAACTATTTTTTCATTTAATTAAAGAGGTTCTTTTTTTATAAATATTCAAAACAGTGTTTTATTTTAATATTATTTATTACATTTAACAAACAAATTATTTTTACATATCATGGCAATTAATTTAAAGTAATATTATCACAAAACAGAATTGAAATTATTTAAAAACTTACTGGTAGCATTGCGTGTAATCGTTGTGATAGAAAAAAAAATGTTTTCAAGAAGAAAATTATTATTTATTTTTATGTGTATAAGAAAACGTATTACGGCGTGAACGTTCAATAGAAAATGAGAATAGTGGTGTTCAACAAATTGCTCAAGAAAACATTGTTGTCAGTTGCAACAAATTGGAAAAACGTCCGTCCAAATGAATACAAACTTTACTACTAATCTCAAGTTTCACTACAGTAATTGACTTGCCGCCTTTTCTAAAAATGAAATGTTTAAAAAAGTTTGTACCGGTGATGAAACTGGATCCTAAATATATATGTTACACTTCTTCTTCTTTCGAGAAGAGTGTAATAAGAGAAAAAAAATTGTATGGTAATCAAACAAATGTAAACAGAAAAGAAGGAACGAAATGTATGACGAGATTCAAAATTACAAAACAAGAGATAGGTCACAAGAACCACATCCCTCCAGTTAGAGAGAAGAAAGAAAAATCTAAATGTTAAAAAAGAACAGTGTCCAGAGATATAAATTTACTAACATTCGAAAATTATCCCGTCAGTAAAGATCGATTGTCCGACTTGAAATTAAAATCGGAAGTTTCAAATACAGAAATATTGACAGTAAACGTAGAAGTAAAGAAAATCAATTCAATACACAAGAAGGTCAAGAATAACTGTAATCGAACAACCAGAGGTACGTGATAATACTAAATATGATGTTTTAAAAGGACTGGACCCAGGTTTAAAGCTAGCTCTAGACGCCATCGAGAGAAATATGCATGACTTTGATATTAATTCAAAAGATAAGCAAATTAAGATACCAAGCTCATCATTCACTTGTCGAATACAAGAATTTAAAAGTCGCTCACAGTGTTGTACAAAATGGGGAATGATTCAAAAAAGTATTATGAAGATTTATTGAAAACTGTTCAATTTAAAAATAATGTCAATTATCAAGATCCATTCTTAATAGTTTCAAATGAAATTTTTTTATTAAAAGCCTTCTTCCATCAACAAAAGAATGTGGCAAAAATAAAAACTGCTGGCCTCAAGTGGGATTGAAAATACCAATAATTTGATATATAAAGTTTCATTGCTTTAAATAAAATAAGTACAGAGAAAAAATTGTTGTCTAAAGTTATTTTTGCCTGCTTAGAAACTATAATGATACCTTGAGATCGAACCACCGAAGGTAGAAGCTTGTGGTCAAGACTAAAATATCATAAGTGAGCTCAAAATGTCACCAACTTTTTAAAAATATAAAATTTTCCCTAACGAGTATAGTAATGTATTTGAGGCCGTTGTTTACGAATCCGATGTCAAATTTTAAAAATTAAAAATGTCGGATGCAATATGGCGGGCGTTTTAAAAAATTCATCGGATGCATTTGAAATTATAAGTTTTAATTTGTGGAGACCCAAAAAACCTCCGACTGGTGAGTTTAGATTAAATTAATTCAATTTTTAAAAATTCGTCGGCCATTTTGGATCCGTCATTTTGATTTTATGTAGATAGACCGACAGCTATATTAGTTACAATATTTTATTTGTTCATTTATTTATTTATTGTATTTTTTTATACTATCCTCACATAATCGTGGCGTGCGGAATCCAAGGTATTTGTAAACAGATTTCCCAAAAGTCTTTATACAAAAAAATAGTTTTCATTATTCAATTTTTTGGAATTTTGGAGGCATTTGTAGCGGAGAAATTGCAGGTTTGTATAGTAATATAAAATATTACTTCATTAAAATTCAGATTTTATAGAATTTCAGAAAGTGAGGGAGAAACTAGAAGCATGTCGATCAGATGGTGAAACGAACGAATGTGTCAATGCTAAAAACCTTCCTCAGAAGCGCACATTGTTCGGATACATGCGTGATAAGAGAATCTATTATTTCCCCTATTAATGAACTGGTGTTCTTTCTTTGAGAAAAGCTTACTTAATTTAAAAATATACTACAGTAATCTCAAAGAATAACTACCAAAATGAACTTGGACAGTGTGATTCCATGTACCTGTATTATTTTCTTGATTCTTAAATTTATATTTATATTCTATATTGATTGTTCAAACCCACAGTATTCATTATTTATGTAATTAATAAACTTAGTGGCTAATTAGATTCAAGCTCTCAAAATATTAATTTTTTCCTTTGATAAAAATGTAACCAGATTTATTTTCATTATTGTATAGACTCTTACTGAACTTTAAATTTTTCGTCTTAATAGAAATTTCTCACAAAATTCTAATATTTTTTAAAAACAGGAAAATACTTGGATTTAATTTTACTATTTTATATACATGTAAATATCATTGTATTTCATTTAGTATACAAAATAAGTGGAATAATTTTTTGCTTTCAGGAACTGTCACCTTGAAATTCCTAAGGAAACAGTAGCGATACGTTTAAATATAAAAAGGATACGTTCGGCAAAATCTGATCACATTTCTGTCAGTAATTTATGGCTCACCAAAACGCGCAAAAAGTACGAACAGCAATGGATATCAAGTTTTTAAAGTACTATAAAACTTACTGATCTAGGAGTGTTCTACAGTATAGATATAAAACATTAAAAAAAAGTATAAGTATTATAAGAACATTTTGTTTCAGTCAAGAGAATTCGTTATTTATTTTTATCTTTATAAGCGTTTTTTCAACTGATTCACATTGGGTAAAAAAACACTTTTGTATAACAAATTTTGGGATGCAAAGTCTTATTTTTTAATATCTCGATTATTTTAGTTGTCACCTTCAGAATAATTAAATTATTTTGGTTCGGCTTTGTGGCACCTATATCCTACTTAAATCTTACTGTCTTGGAGGCTTACTCAAAAGCCTACTTGATTTGGCAATGACCGGCCAATAAACTAAATCATGCCATTGGTTAAATAAATGTTTATAAGGCTAGTGGCCTATCTATTTTGAAGCCGTTTGAATAAACACTGTTTTACTTTAATTGTGTAGGTTTTTGATCAATTATCTTCTTTAAGCAGAATTATTTTAAATTGCAACATTAAGTTATAAATTACGTAAAAAAGGGCACAAAATATTTGCTTTAAAACATAACAGTGGGTTACAAAAATGTTTTAGGAGAGATCAATGACATTGAATAGTTCCTGTTTTTATGCCAACGGCTGAAAAATAGTCAGACTAATAGCCTGGTAATTACTTATTCATTTAATGGTCTTATAACTTATAGACAAGTAGAAGTTGAGAAAGTATATGGATTAGATTTTATTTAGTGCCCGAACATTCGAGTCAGCTTGAATTGTTTATTGCCCTGCAGCATATGCAGCATAGGTCTTCTGATATTTTTGTTATTTAATTTATGTAATCCCACTTTAATATTCGAGATTAGTAACTAACTTTCTACTGCTGAAAATAATCACTTTTAATGTAAATGTAACTATGTCTTGATCGGGCGGTACATGGGCAACTGAGGAGCAGAAATTTTTTTTTGATGAGTAGTATGCTTAGTGCTTAGCAGGTTCTTTCTCTTTACTTTGAAAGTATTAGAAGTACGTAACTTTAGAAATTCTTTGTTGGATAACTAACGTTTAATTTTAAGATTGATTATACCTGACCCTCTTCGGTGAAAGTTACACGGTCCAAAAAATTAAATATGAATTGCTATTATTTCATATATTTTGAGTTGCTTTTACAGATATAAAAGTAAAAAATCATATTTGTAACTTTAATATTTTTCATCAAACATAGGCATATGTTATATTATTTTACTATGTGTAATATTACAGCTATAAACATCCCTCACCGTGGAGTGTCACGTATTTCAACTTCGGAAAAAGTTAGACTTATTTTTTAAAATGTTGACGCTGTATCGCACACTTAAGTTACACTGATAAAAAAATACTTCCTCAGATATGTAGTTTTATGATATCCAGTAAATATACTTTATCATATTTCTATTTAAAATAACACCCCAGTGGGCACAGAAACGTAAATTATCTAATAACGTCTTTAGAATATAAAACGTCTTTGAGACGTCTTTTTAAGAGACATAAACGTCGCTTCTTTTCTTACTTTATTTCTTTATTTCCTGAAAAATTTTAATGCAATATCCGATTTTTATGTAAAAAAATAAACATTTAACAATATTATCTTCTCTAGTATTTTAATATCGAAAACGTTTAGAATGGTAAGATATGTAATTGTGAATGATAGTTGCTAGGATTAGAATTATAGAAGTCTGAAAAACACTCCTAGGCTTTTATGGCTTTAAAGGAAATTTTGAAATAAAGCTTTTATAAGAAAAATTCATTATTATAATTTAAACAGCAGTGGGAATAATGATATAGAAATAAGAGCTACACTCCTTGGTCGTTCGACACAACATGAATAATGTATACGATTTTTAAATTTATGGTTATAAAACAGATAGTTTTTAGAAGAAAAAGTAATTAAGTAAAGGAAAGTGGTGCAGGTGAGATAAGAAAAAAATGCAAAACTTAAGTTTATCACATGGTTTTATATTGTAAGTTTTCGTATTTATGAAAAGAACTGGATTATAATATGCTTTTAAATTCCTATACATGTAAAAGACGTAAAAAATTTGTATTGGATTTTATTTAAATAAACATTAAATACTTAAATAAAGATATTTGAAGCCTTAAAATATTCCTGTATATTATAATGTATACAAATCCTGATAGTTTTATACAACTAACTTTACTGAATGTTAGAATTTTTCGCTGATTGAGAATCTTCTATCTATATTAATAAAATCAGACTTCTGTCTGTACATTGCTCCAAGCATTAAATTTTTTATATATTTTTTCGTTTTGAGACATTAGAATTCGAAAAATGTAAAAAAAATTTGTCTGTCTGTATGCAAAGCTATTAGGTATTAACGTAACTTAAAATTATAGTCTTATCCGATTAAAAAATATTAACTTGAACGAAAGTTATGATGTTTTTCCAAAAAATTCGAAAAATCAAAAAATGAAAATTTGTTATTTTTTGTAAAATGGATGCAAAACTATCCTTAGCTAACTTTCTCAGATAAATACAACCCATTTCTATAATAAAATTTTTAAAAAGACGTATTTTAAAATTTTTTTTCGTTTTTTTAGATCAACTTTTTTCTAAAAAATAGTAATTCTTAATTTTTAAGCAAGTTTTTCAGAAAAAGTTATTAAAGTTTTTTATTTAAAGACCAGTATGTAAAGTAAGAAGTTTGCTACATTAGACAAAAATATTGTTTCAATATTCAGTTATTAAAATCAACAAAGTTATGCACGAATTAACAAAAAAATATTCATATGAATTGAATGTATCACTGAACCTAAAAGGTTTCAATATTGATTAATTCTTGCATCAAGTTGGTGTTGATATTTTCTGATTAATTAATTACTTTGTATTTTTGGTAATTCTAATTTCAATTTTATCATAAAAATACAAAAAATTAGGAATTTTAAATCTAAAATTTAAAAGTTCGAATATTTTAATACCTATATAGAAATGAAAATATTGATACATTTTCATTCTACTTTTCTACTAGCACGTAATGTTCCATTAACATTGGCAACATTAAATAAGTAAAGTGTTTTTGAAGAGCACAAAAATAATAAAGCTAAATGCAGTAAAAAAAAAAAGAAAAAATGTTGATTTTTAAAGAATTCGGGTTTTCGAATTTTTGGCAATTTTTAAAAATTTTTGATTTTTTACCAAAGGTTGGAGACTATCAAATAAGTAAAGTGTTTTTAAAGAGCACAAAAATAAAGAAGCTAAATGCCATAAAAGAGAAGAAAAAATGTTGAATTTTAAGAAATTCAGTTTTTCGAATTCTTGACAATTTTTAAAATTTTTTGATTTTTTACCAAAGGGTGCAGACTATTAAATAAGTAAAGTATTTTTAAAGAGCACAAAAATAATGAAGCTGAATGCAGTAAAAGAGAAGAAAAAATGTTGATTTTTAAAGAATTCGAGTTTTCGAATTTTTGACAATTTTAATAAATTTTTGATTTGTTCCCAAAGGTTGCAGACTATTAAATAAGTAAATTGTTTTTGAAGAGCACAAAAATAATAAAGCTAAATACCATAAAAGAGAGGAAAAAATGTTGAATTTTAAGAAATTCGGTTTTTTGAATTTTTGAAAATTTTCGATAATTTTAGATTTTTTACCAAAGATTCGAGACTGTTAAATAAGTAAAGTATTTTCCAAAAGCACAAAAATAACTAAGCTAAATCCCATAAAGGAGAGGAAAAAATGTTGAATTTTAAGAAATTCGGTTTTTTGAATTTTTGAAAATTTTCGATAATTTTAGATTTTTTACCAAAGATTCGAGACTGTTAAATAAGTAAAGTATTTTCCAAAAGCACAAAAATAACTAAGCTAAATCCCATAAAAGAGAGGAAAAAATGTTGAATTTTAAGAAATTCGGTTTTTTGAATTTTTGAAAATTTTGGATAATTTTAGATTTTTTACCAAAGATTCGAGACTGTTAAATAAGTAAAGTATTTTCCAAAAGCACAAAAATAACTAAGCTAAATCCCATAAAAGAGAGGAAAAAATGTTAAATTTTAAGAAATTCGGTTTTTTGAATTTTTGAAAATTTTGAATAATTTTAGATTTTTTATCACAGAGTCGAGACTATTAAATAAGTAAAGTATTTTCCAAAAGCACAAAAATAATGAAGCTAAATTCTATAAAAGAGAGGAAAAAATGTTGAATTTTAAGAAATTCAGATTTTTGAATTTTTGATAATTTTCATTAATTTTAGATTTTTTACCAAAGAGTCGAGACAATTTAATAAGTAAAGTATTTTCCAAGAGCACAAAAATAATGAAGCTGAATCCCATAAAAGAGAGGAAAAAATGTTGAATTTTAAGAAATTCGGTTTTTTGAATTTTTGAAAATTTTCGATAATTTTTGATTTTTTTCCCAAGAATCGAGACTGTTAAATAAGTAAAGTATTTTCCAAAAGCACAAAAATAACTAAGCTAAATCCCATAAAAGAGAGGAAAAAATGTTGAATTTTAAGAAATTCGGTTTTTTGAATTTTTGAAAATTTTCGATAATTTTCGATTTTTTACCAAAGATTCGAGACTGTTAAATAAGTAAAGTATTTTCCAAAAGCACAAAAATAACTAAGCTAAATCCCATAAAAGAGAGGAAAAAATGTTGAATTTTAAGAAATTCGGTTTTTTGAATTTTTGAAAATTTTCGATAATTTTAGATTTTTTATCAAAGGTTGGAGACTATTAAATAAGTAAAGTGTTTTTGAAGAGCACAAAAACAATGAAGCTAAATGCAGTAAAAGAGAAGAAAAAATGTTGAATTTTAATGAATTCGGTTTTGCGAATTTTTGAGACAATTATTAAAAATTTTTGATTTTTTACCAAAGGTTGGAGACTATCGAATAAGTAAAGTGTTTTTGAAGAGCCTAAAATTAATGAAGTTAAATGCCATAAAACTGTGTAGAAAAAATGTTTAATTTTAAGAAATTCGGTTTTAAATTAAATTTTTCTCTTAATAAATAAGCTCGCATAAGAACACCTAACTATAAATAATACTTCGAGAAAATCTGGTTTGCTGTTTCACCATCACTTATCCCATTGTTTAATGTCATCAGAGAAAGTGCTTCCTGGTGTATATATTCGGTCGTGATTCCCGAATATTCAAGAGCACCAGGATACAAAAATCACCTTTGTTTTAATCTTGTCAAATCACTGGCTACGGCCATATTGAATTAAAAGCCGACGCGGAATGGACGGAAGCGACGAATAGTGGGCGTTCTGCATTGTCGGTCACACCTAACTTACCCTCCGCGGATAAATGAAAAATGTAAAAAAGTAATACGCTTGGGACTCACCTTGCAAAACGAAAACGAAGCGCGCGTGTAGCGACGCGTTCGTAGCCAGATACACGGCCATTTAAATTCAGTCTCGATTTGATACACTGACAAGGCGCATTAAGCCACCAAAAAATTTTTTTTAGAAAGTTAAAATATTAAATTTATTAGAGGGATATCCGGACGAGGAGCATTAAGGGACCGGCGTCGTATCGACGGTGAGTCACAGTAAATATTAATTGTTGTTTCTCGCCAGATTGACATAAATTAATTGTTTAAAATTTTTAAGTACAGAAAGTGACGCTTGTTACCGGTCTTTCTGTAGAATAAATTAATTGTCCCATTAAATTAGAATTTAAGGTAAATAGAATTGGATAAAATTAATTTTGATTAATAATTAAATTCAGTGATTATAATTAATTGATGTGCTAATCTTCTTACCCCCTTCCCTCTCCGCGGTTTGTTAGGAATTTTCCTAACAATTTCTGAATTAGTCTGGCTTAATTAAAATTTGAATAAATTAATTTTTTGAATATTTTGAAGTAAAATATCCTGGCGCTAATCCTTATTAATAAAATCAGATGTCTGTCTGTACATTGCTTAAAACTTCAAAATGTTAACATGATTAGTTATTATGGACATCAGAGATTCCAAAAATGTTCTTAAAAAATTTAATGTATGTATGTATGTATGTATGTATGTATGTATGTTTGTCTGTCACAAAAACTTTGTACCCCAATCACACAAAAACATGTGAATCGATTTAAGTCCAACTTGGTAGGTTATTAGGTATTGACCCAAGGAAGGTTTATAAATTTACAGATTTAAAAAATATTAATTAGAACGGGAGATATTCAATTTTTTCAAAAAATTCAAAAAATCGAAAATTTCAAAATTTTTTATTTTTCATGGATTGCTTTTGAAGTTTATATACTTGAGTATTATATGTTATTTAGTCACATTATAGCATAACTTTGCAAAAAATAAAGTCCTATAACTAATATGTAAGTATAAAAATGTTTTCAAAAAATCGAAAATTTCAAAATTTTACATTTTTTTATGGATTGCTTTTAAACTTTCTATATTTGAGTATTACATGTTATTTGGTCACATTTTAGCATAATTTTTCAAAAAATACTATTCTACAACTAAGATGTAAATATAAAAATATTTTCAAAAACTTGAAAAATGGAAAATTTCCAAATTTCACAATTTTTAATGGATAGCTTTTAAACTTTCTAAAAATGAATATTATATGTTATTTAGTCAGATTTTATCATAATTTTGCAAAAAATACTATCCTACAAGAAATATAAAAAAATTTTCAATATATCAAAAAATCGATACTAATTACTATATGAAGTATAATTCAGTAGTATTTTTGGAGTCTCTGATTAATATTTTGATGTCAAAATAGTGCAATTCAAAATTATTTATCAAATCAATCTAATATTTTCAAGAAGTTCAGAAATATTGAAAATGGAAATTTTTTATGATTAAAATGATTTCGCAGGATGTCAAGAATTGTAAGTCACCTGTGATACAATACAAGCATATTATGCCACTAGGCAAAAACTTACATGTTAAAACGTTTTTTCATTTTAACTCTAGATTTAACTTTAAGAGATGTTTTGAGCAATGTAAAGACAAAAGTTAACACGGTGTCTATTTTTGTTTAACAAAATTCCCTGCTTTGTCCAAACTTTTCACGGTTTATCTCTTTTTTGTCAAATTTAAATTTACTTGATTTTATCCATAAATAAATCTACAAATGGCTATAAAAATTTACTTATTTTATGAAAA